GATATTTTTTAAATTTAATTCAACTCACGTTGGCCTTTCTTATTTAGAACGTGTTTAAAGTTCTCATGTCAAGAAAATAAATATGTGGAAAGACAATGGTTTAAAGCTTATGAAAATGTCAAAATCATAATTCAGTTTTTAAAATAAGACATGCATTCACGCACATGTGACATTATCTCTTTTTGTGCGATTCAAACATAAAAATATCATTACAGTTATACATGTGAACCAATCTTAGCCATGCCTTTCTAATAGAAGGGACTAAATTTGAATCAAAAAATAATTCTGTGTAAAGATGATTCCCCATAGATATAATACATGTCAGTTTGACGCATATCGTTTAGCAAATCGAACGCTCGTTTCTGGTGTTGCTCACCGTTTAGTATAAAAGGCCCGATCCCGGAATAATACTCAAGGGTTCACAGGTTCGAGGTCGTTGTTTCAACACCTCTAACTGTTATATAGCATAAGTATATTATAGATCGGCACACATTTATAAAAGGGTGATTTTTATTTTGACAAATCAATTCCACATTTATGGGTGAAGTTTCAGGATCTTCTATTTGTGTATAATAAGGAAAAAATGGCATCTGAATTTCCCCATAACGTAATAGCACACAGCTTGGCATGAAATATCCTACAAATGAAACAAAGCAAGACAAACCGGTTTCTAATACAAGGATTTATATTGGCTGTTGTACATGTCTTCTTTGAACGCAATCACTCTTTGGATAACGTTTTCAAAATCATTATAAACGGATTACTTTATCTCAAAGACAATTTCAATAAACTGGATTTTACAGAATTCCCCTTATTTCTTAAAAATGGACTGATCCAGTTGATTCGCCTGGAGCCGCCATATTGTTTTTATACGGGATGCTAATCGGAACCCTTTAAACCAAATTTACAAATACCCGTCCACATATATAAGACATTAAATCAGTAGTTGTTTATGACAAGATTATGTTTATAGATTATCAAAAATTAAGGTAGCGTACTGTAATTTCAACTATATGTTAGCCCCCCTCCCCTTCGCCGACAGTAATGTATTGTTTAAAATAATACTGCATCCACCGGCCAATTATTCTTTCACCACTTTGAGCAGTTTTCGTGTTATTTTGAACAAATATCAAATGTGACCCCACCCCTGGAATAAGTTAGCCCCCCCCTCGCCGACAGAGATGTCTTGTTTAAGATAATACTGTATCCCCTGGCCAATAATTTTGAGCAGTTTTCGTGTAATTTTTGAGCAAATATCAAATGTGACCTCACCCCTGGAATAATTCAAAAGTCATCCCCTTAGCAAATGCTGGATTCGGCTCTGGTACTTGTCAATGCGAAATAATGGGTGTTGGTTAGTGGAAATACCCACTTAAACAGACCCTCTTAATTTATAACAAGTTAACAATTAAGAAGCCATGTTGCAATGTACTTTTCGTGACTCAAGTCGGATATAAAGTGAAAACATACTCTTTTGATTTGATATCCCGTATTTAGCTAAAGCAAAACACGAAATATTAACACGTGCAGTAAATTATAATTTAAATGTTTCCATATATAGCGCAAAATCTCACATAACCAATAACCCAGATGCGAGTAGAAATAATCTTGATTTACGTCATTAAAAATTCAAAATTCAGTCATAGTAAGGTCACACTTGAAATAGCAATAAAAAAAATCTTGCCTCCAGACTATCTCCCCCCCCCTCTATTTCACCCAAAATTCACACACTCATGGCGGGGCTTGTAGCTAAATTATCAATCATCGTTAGTAAATTTGAATTTTCACTGGTAATAGCAATTATAACAATAGCAATTATCCTTTCAATAGTTTTATTATCAAAAGAAGAGGGTTCATCTGTTGCTTCTTTTACCATCTGAACTCCAGAATGGTGATGATTGGCTTTCGCAAGTGAAGGTAATTTGTAGTTGTATCATATTGGCTAAATTTTAAGTAAATAAGTCCGGAAATACATGGACAAAATGTAATCAGAAAGGTGGACTAATTGGTATTATTTGTTTTGATTAATGATTATACATAACTAAAAGGCTATGTTAGATGTCTGTAATTCCCCCTGACCAAGGGCTATGCATTGTTTCAAGTGAAATCCAAATCCCTCCACCATTGCGACTATATGTGTTATAATGGGCTTTTAATTGAAAGTCCGTTAAAAAAAGGTTGCAGACATTAGGCTCGTTAAAAGTATGTCATATTGCTATTTATCGGGCTATTTATATACCATTTGTCTTCTATAGCTTCCACGGTGCCCATGTCAAGCTGCGCGCCTACTTAGGCGAGCAGTTTGTTTCGATCACAAACTGCGTGCCTAAGAACATTGCATCATTTAAGTTGGAGTCTGTATTTTGAAACGTAATTTAAAGACATTTATCCTGCATTGTTTTCTTGTTCAATGCTTTCATTCTGTGGCGAATATACGAATCTTGCAAATACTAGCAAAAACTATGTGCAAATGAATCTAAGTTTTAAAACATAAGCAGATTAATGGGATTTTCGTCACTGATTTAACGGGAATTTATACGTAAATCGATCTAGCACTTTAAACATAAATGACAAATACTTTAGACTATTTTTATATTTAATTCCTTACACATTTATCATGTATAATTCAAAATATTTCGAGATAAAACAGATAATCAGGAGATTAAAAAGAAATAAATCACAAACTGCGCGCCTATTTTAGCCAGAAATTACAAACTGTGCGCATACACTATTAAAACTACATATTATCATTGGAATTTATACAGAGGCACGTGTAGGTGTTTTTCATGTAGCTTTGGAAATTTTGCTTTATCGTCAGATTTTATGAGATTTTCATATTGAAAGTCAAAATGTATAACGAAAAAAACTTTTATTTTCAGATCACCATCTTGGTGGATGGACTCTCATAGTGTTTCAATTATGGGGTTCTACTTATTAGACACATATGTGCCTTGTATGGCGCTTATGTTTTCTAATAATACAAAACAAGCTTGGATAGGCAAGCAGTTTAGAAATATTAGGCACGCAGTTTGGGAAATACATGTGAATATAGGCGCGCAGTTTGACAAGAAAAATGTTTAAATCACGTTTATGGCGTATTATCGTTTTGAACACAAACTTTGCTGATTTAATCAGATGGAGTCATCCTATATATTCTAGCATACACAGACACAATGGCTGAATAAACGGCAAATGACGATAAAAAGACATAGATATAACTTTACACTGTAGATTTTGAACACAGAAGTTACTTAAGACCCTTATATTGAGATAACTAGGTTTACATCGGGAAAAACATTGAGTACTATGAGTAAATTAATTTCATCTTCACAGAATGGTACTATCTTTAGAACGAGACTAACCTTGTATTTTTCGTATTTTGGCTCTTTTTGGGAGTCGTGTCCTCCCCGTCTCACATTTTGAAATATGCGCGCAGTTTGTCAGAGTTTCAAACTGCGTGCCTATTAGGCACGCTGCTTGACATGGGCATCGTGGCTTCTTAAGCATCAAATATATCCTGTATAAATCCTGACGCCTGGATAAGTACAGGATATGTACATTGTGTGCCAATCCTGTATGTATCCAGGGGTCAGGATTCATACAGGATTGGCACACTGCGAGCGTATCCTGTATGAATCCAGGAGGCATGATTTATACTGGATTCCTACATTTGCAAATCCTGTATAAATCCTGACACATGATATGTACAGGATATGTACATTGTGTGCCAATCCTGTATGTATCCAGGCATCAGGATTCATACAGGATTGGCACACTGCGAGCGTATCCTCTATGAATTCAGATGCAGGATTCATACTGGATTCCTACACGCGCCAATCCTGTATAAATCCTGACACAGGATATGTACAGGATATGTACATTCGGTGCCAATCCTGTATGTATCCAGGCGTCAGGATTCATACAGGTTTGGCACACTGCGTGCATATCCTGTATGTATCCTGACGTTAGGATTCCTTGTATTCGTACACATTTTTTGCTGTGAATATATTCCATATATCCCCAAGGTCAGGTTTGATTTGCCGTAAGCTACGCTGTTAGTCTGTGGGGCTCTTGGTCACACTTGAAATATGATATAACCCCCCCCCCCCCCACAGCATAGTCTTGAAGAATTTGAACAATTGTTGCATATTTAACTGTACCAGTAATACAGAATATTCCCGGAGTCGAGTTGGTTTGGAGTTTTCTAAGGCAATCATCATATTTGCTGATACTCCAAGGGGTCTGTGATGCATCGTGTTAGTATCATCAGGCATGGACTAGTGACGATTTTTTCAGTTGTAAAACAGCTTCACAGCAATAACCGAATTTTAAGCGCTCCATTCATTAAACTTCAGTTTCGTTAATTCCTATTTTTTTGACTGAGAAAACAATTTCCTGACAGAACCCTTCTAAGAATTTCATCTTTTATTGTTTTTATGATGACAATACAACCCCCCTTTTGCCTGTATTGAACTAATAACCCAGATGCGAGTAGAAATAATCTTGATTTACGTCATTAAAAATTCAAAAGTCAGTCAAAGTAATATCATATTTAAAATCTACATGTAAAATTACATTTAGAAATGTGGTTTTAAAAAGTGTTTATCAACTTTGAAAAATTAATTTTCTTTGAAAATGTGACTTCTAGCTCGGGGAGATTCCCCATAGACCCCATGCTATAAAATCACAAAAAATGAAATATATTTTCTTTTAGTGGACAGATAATATTTTGCTTTACTGGACATATTTTCATTAGTATAAGTATCAGACACATAAGGGTTATATTAAAATTAAGCCACTTAAATTGATAATATTCAAGTTTAAGGGAACTTTCTTATATACCTGCCATGTTAATTGACCCGAATCAGCCACCTGGTGGTGAAACTGGTAACTACCTACTCGCATTTGGGTAATTAGACAGGTCAGAATTAGAATTTCCTGGATACACTGAATTTCATAATTATGTGAATTTGACTGAAAAGAAAGTTACTTTTTGTTTTATTGCATAACGTAGAGTAAATCTGTGTAGAATTGTTTAATCAAGCACATGTATATATCTTGAAATAGAGTTGAATTATATTCATTTTATATAATTTCCCATTACATTCTCTGTTGTGTTAGATGATTGTGTACCGTGAATGTGGATATAGATCAGTGTTTAGAAAGACCCCCATTCCCATATATTTACAATCTGTGTCATTAAGCTAGACAATTTAAAAATCCAAATTGATAGCTGGGTACCCAAGAACCACGCTACCCAACACCCTGGGTTGCCACACAATAAACGTCAGACCTGACAATGGAATATGAGAACTAAAACAATGACGTCACATAGTTTATTGAAACTTACTTATTTCGTAAGTCTCAAAAACTAACTAAAAGTTACAAACTTTCGAGAAATACAATTTGCGATTTCGTAACTTTTTAGGAACTTTTTGAAACTTACTAAATTAGTAAAGTTACTATTTAGTAACTTTACTAATTTTAGAGAAATAGACCCCTAACTGGTATTCATTATAAGTTAACTCCTCAAAAGCGGTAGTAATGTTTAAAGAATTAATATAGTTTTGTTTTGAGATTATTTGAGGAGTCCAGCCTTTTTTAAAACAAACTGAGCAATTTCTGCAAATATAGTTTTTGATTGGACAGCGGCCTCCATACTTCTCAGTTCTGGAGGAGTAGGTAGTGTCCAGTGGAAGGCATATGTGTCATTTCTCCAATTTTTTATGGAATTAGTATTTTCATGATGTATACTTGCATTGTGATAGTTCGGATACCAAGTGGGGTGACACTTAAATTGAAAGCAAATGACTTGTAAATGTGGGTCAAGGTTGATAAGCTCAGGGTGTCTTTCTTGAACCTTATACGGTAATCTCAGGGCATTGTAGCTCCATTCCTTATCAACGTAGTCTTTCATTGACTCTTGAAATAGATGCCAGTATTTAGCATTACGTTTTCCAAGCGTCACACCAAAGTTAATCGTGTCTGGATAGGGAAGATCCCAGTCTATCCAATCATAGGACGCCACTGCGTCATATGATCTGATTTCACGGTCTAATGGTCGAACAAAACACGTGTCTGTATCGACGTATATGCCTCCATACTTAATCATAATGTCGACTCTAAAAAGGTCTGTGACATGAGATAATTCATTAACATCATTCTTATAAATTGTATTAGGCCTCTCACGGTAGATGAACTTTAATCTTTCATGGTCTTTTATCTTTTGCCAGTAGGCACCAGTTGGCTCATGATTTCCATGAATATACACGTAGTCTACTTCAACAACGTAGAGGAGACTCAGTACTCCTAAGTAGAACAAAAAGTCCATTCGTCCTCCCTCCAACCAGACTAGATGGGCGATGTTAGGAACAAGATTGTCGTAAGATTTATTAGGCTTTGGTATATTTGGTTTACCGTAGTAGATGGTGCGAAAAAGCCTTCCGATTTTGTCATCTCTCGCCCAGATGTCCCTTGGGTTCCAAGACTCTCCATTCAGGTTAATACAATGAATGTTTGGGTTATTGCTGGACGTATATTCGTCTCTTGTTGTGCAACGAGATACTGCAATTCCCGAAGGATCTTCAGATGGTGCACCTAGTGTTTCTAATGAAATATCTCCAGTTAGTGGCTTGCTATTGAGAGTCAAGTCAATCATGGTTGTCATTATATTACGTTGTGCAAGTGCGTAGCCACTCCCAGTTTTATTTAAAGCATTGATGACTTTGAATTTACGAAATTTCAGTGGGAAATCTACAAATACAGTGTCATCACCTACAACAATGCCCCCATTGTTCAGAGTTTGGAGCATGAACTTAACTTTGTTATCAGGCGCACAGACGCTTCCATCACTTGCTTCTCGTATTACTGTAAAGAAAGGAAATGTCTCTCTGATTTCGTCAAACCATTGGTTGTATCGTTTACGGTCCATTCTAGGCCAATGTTCTATGTGGAACATAATTCTGTCTGGTTGGATATATTTTATAACACTTTTGACACTCAAGTAATGGGAGTATTCAAACCAACGGAGGCCGCACCATATGTAATGGACAGTGTTTGGCGCCAAATCTGGGAGCAGACGTTTTTCGTGAGGGCTTTCTCCCCTCGCAAACTCCTCTCCTGGCGGTTGAGCAAATTCTTCATTTTCTATTACATCCTCACGGATATCTTCTTTAAAGTCTTGTTTTACGTCTGGTGTTTGAGATGACCTCGGGAGTTGCTTATTATCGAGATCGTAAGGTTGTGTTTGAAAAGTTGGACAAGAAGTCTGACATGAATATTCCACCATCGACAGTCGGATAGAGACAATGATGTATGTGATGAAAACTAGCAGTAAAAGCCAACTCAGTATACGATAGGCTGAATTCGGACTTCTTAAATTCCGCATTTTGGATGGTTGTTGGGAGTTTCGAATCAACTGGTTTCCAAATGACTCACATTTGTCTTGATATACTGCAAATATATAACATTTAGTTTAATTACGTATACATAAAGAGAGATGTCAATACCTTGACATGCACCTTTAATGGAAATTTACAAAAGCGATTCGTGTGACTTGTCAAATGTACAAACGATATTTATCAATAAATGTATCAACTTATGTACAAAGGTATGTCATGTAAAGTACGAACGCCATACATGTCACATATTAAAAGTAAAAGCACCATTCATACCACTCATCAAACACCTTTCACATCGGTCATCAAATGTATGTACGCCAATCATGTTGTTGACGGAATGGCGAAATGTTATTCGTCAAATGTACAAACGCCATTCATGTTACTCATCAAATGTACAAACGCCATTCATGTTACTCATCAAATTATTCAACAATTGTATACATTATTTTTATTCAAGTGTGAGTGAAAATAGATGATAAAATTATTATAAATGAGTTATTTACCTCGTTCATCTATTATATAAATGCCATTCATGGAACTTATCAAATATAGAAAATGTCGAAGAATGGAGAGTTTAAACATTGGAAGCAATTACCTTAAGAATTTCATATATCCTATGAATACGTTATCAAAATACCCCACTGAATTTGTAGATTTCGTGTAAATAAAGTTATGAAAATGGTGTTGTAGGGTTTACGGTAAAGATGACTAAATGTCCTCATTTCATAAGGAACAAATGAGACCCCCTTACGTTTTCTGATGGGTAGGACAATGAAATAATGAGAGCTGAAAGTTATTGTAAAATTGTAACAATTTTCTAGGTTCCCACATATAAATCCATATCTTGTAGTGACTTCATTTTGCTTATCAGACAATGTATACCTTTTATAGTCGCCTCCTCAATTTATGAGCCGAACATTTTCTATCCACAGATCAAAGTGACCGACAGGTGACTGGATCTGTAAGCAATTTTACGTAATATATGTATTTTCAGGGTATTTTTGAGGATTTCCTCTAATTTGTCAATAAAAGAGTAACACAACAAACATGGCCAATTCTCTGTACAACTTTTTTTTATTTAGGTAAAAATCAAAATGATTTAACATTAAAATTTAAGTGACTCAAGCACCAGTTCTAATGTTGTTGTCGTTGAGCAGCCCAGCATGTTTCAGGACATGTTTCCCAATCTTAGCAAACATCGAGTCTGACTTCATGAGATGTTTCTCGTCTTGGAGCTCAAGTGGGACGGGAGCAGTCCAATGGAAGGCATATGTCTCGTGCTGCCAATCCAATGGCGTATTTTCATGGTGGATGGACTCGTTGTGATAGTCTTTCCACCAAGTGGGATGGCACAGAAAATTAAAACATATCACTTGTAGATGAGGGTCTAAATGGAAAAGGTCAGGATGTCTTTCCATGACTCTGTAGGGCTGGCGTAAACCATTGAAACTCCAACTGTTTTCCCGCCAATAACTCATTGACTTTTGAAACAATACCCAAAATTCGGCATTTCGCTTTCCAAGTGTCACTCCAAAATTGATGTTGTCCGGACATGGAGCATTCCAATCTATCCAATCATATGAAGCAACTACGTCATATGCTCTTAGACTATCTGGGATTGGCTGTACAAACAGCGCGTCAGTGTCCACATAGATTCCACCATATTTCACCATTATGTCTACTCTGAAGATGTCACTCACATGAGGTAGTAATTCAACATTACTTTTATAAATTGTCTCAGGCAGATCTCTGTATATTAAGATTATTCTTTCGTCATGTTTGACTTTCTTCCATAATGGCCCTGTTGGTTCTTTATCACCGTGAATATAGAGATTATCCACTTTTACAATATGCAAAACACTGAGCACTGATAAATAAAACAAGTAATCCATCTCTCCTCCTCCCATCCACACCATATGTGCAATGTTTGGGACAAGAGTTTCATATGATGGTTTTGCGACAGGAATATCTGGCTTACCATAGAAAATAGTTCTGGCTATTTCACCAAACTCACTATCCAAACCCCAAATATCTTTGGGAAAAATATATGTCAAATTTTTTGGCATTGTCAGACAGTAAAGTTTTGGGCTGTAATATATGGTTTTGACAACTCCATATTTTGTCAGTGTAGACGCTCCACACTTCACTTTTATGTTTTCATTCGCCTGAAGTTTTGATTGAAAGAAAGCTTTGTGATGTGTTGGCCGGATCATCATAAATCCGCCTTTAGGAGTCAGGGCCTCGACTAGGTTGTGTCGCCTTAGTTCATGAGGCGTTCGTGTGAAGATTGTTGTTCTGTCAACAAAGATTCCTCCAGTTTTAGACATAACTTCATGGGCGAATGACCTCAGCTTTAGATCATTGTCACAAGCATCGAATTTCTGTATTTTCATTTTTCTCAGTGTTATAAAGGGAAACTCTTCTCTAATGACATCTAACCAATCATTATATAACTTGATATCAATCCGTGGGATATGATTGTAGTATAGAATAATTTTATCAGGCTGGATGTATTTTATGACACTGCGCATGCTCAAATAGTTCTGGAACTCGAACCAGTATCTACCACACCAAATGTAATAGACGATCGGTGGCGTGAGACCAGGTTGTGGCAAAATGGGATGTTTGATTATGACCTCGGTTTGTACCTCCTCCTTAACTTGAAAGTACGATCTGCTCTCTTCTGACCGTTCTGAATTCACAGGCCTATTATCCACCTCGGCAGCATAATCACCGAGGTCTACTTTGGTAGCATTCCTTGCAGATCTGATCTCAACTTTATCTAAACGTCTGGAGTCTGGCTCGTTATCATTAGCAATTCCAACCGAATGAGGGATTGGGTGGGTTTCCTCGGTAAGTGGATTGGAATCTTTGAGAGACAATTTATGTCTACCTTCTTCCAAGACCGTTCGTTGTTGATTGGAATCGCATTTTGGCGTCCTTGTAGATATCTCTATAGATAAGAGTATGTAACCCAATATTCCTAGCCCAATCCATATTTTGCTTCCTCCGCGTCTAATCATTCTTGTAACGGTTTCTATAGAAACGGTTTGGACAATGCTTCACATGTTGAATGTCTGAGGGTGAGGATAAATCTGGAAATACACGTTTGAATAGCATTAGATCTAGCAATTTTGCAAAGCGGGATAAATTATATCAAACAATGTTCTATTGTTGCATTCAACAATGTGAGATTGGCGTTTATATGCCAAGAATTAAGAATGTCAAATGTATACATAATTGCTATTTTCCAGATTTAACTCACCCTGCTCGGAACAGCAAATTTCATATAAGGTGTCCCAAAAATGAGCCACTTTTCGACAAGTATTATCTCGGCAACTGAACCAAATTCACTGAAAAATTGTACAAAGTAGCTAAAGAGTATATCGTTAGCAAGTTACAAAAATATGAAAAAGATCAAATAAATGTTATGTGAGTACTAAGAAATTCAAAATAGCATGTCATAATATCCCATACCGGAGCAATGCAATTAGAGTTTCATAGCGTTTGTACCAAAAAATGGGAAGCAATTTGACAAGTAATTTCTCAGCAATAGATGAGCCAAATTATTTGAAAACTTTATTTGAGGCACTTAAGGGTATCTTCTGTTGTGCCATGTAAGAGATTGATCTCATATTATGTATTTTAGAATTAAAGACAGTATGTCAAAATACCAATATCAATGTCAAAGTCACCTATTAATCCATTTCCATGCAAAAAAACTTTTCTGCTTCCAATGAATTTTGACAATGAATTGGATTTGGATATTTGTGATGAATGAGAAGAATTGGTCAGACATTACTCGGCTCACATCGAACGCAGTGAAAGCCGAGCAGCGAGCGTGCGAAGATGATAGCTGGTACATATATACATACACTATAGGTCTCATATCAGAGCTCCGGTTTGGGAATTTTTGACATGCTTTTTGAATTTCTTAGTACCAACAGAGTATTTACTTTATCTTTTTATATTTTTAATCAGTTGCTGAGATAATCTCATTTTTGGGACACCCGATATATTCTTATATAAAGGCTGGGCATAAATATACAACATATACACACAAAGGAATAATAAGTTAAAAGTGTGACATAATCATTGTTTTTGAAAGCAACACTAGTTATACTATGTCTTGTATCGCCAAAACAAATCAATGGTTACACACTGACAAAAGATTGTTCATGCATTGCATACCGTAGGACACTCGATAGGAGCAATGATCTGACAAGTGTTTGGGTTAAGCACATTACATTACGTGATATCACAGTTTTGAAAATGAGTCTTTAGCTCACAAGGTGAGCTTTTACAATCACTCACTTGTCCGTCTGTCTGTCCATCCGTGCGTGCGTCCGTCCGTCAACAATAGTGGCACGTTTTAAAACCTTTGTCGATAGGATTCCTGTTTTAAGTTATTTCTGTTCAACATCAATACAGAAAACTCCTCTAGGACTCCTGGTTCAAAAGATCAGCTATTTTCAAAATGGCCGCCATTTTTTCTCGCGAAATTCACGTTTGACCCATTTCCTAGCTTTACAAATAATTTCAGGTGTCCTACATTGTAAAAATCCATGTTAATGTAAAGAGTAGATATATGAAATAATTTTGTTACAAAAAATCAGCGAAAAATTATATCCGTTTTTTATGTCCCCACCACATAGTGTGGGGCCATATTGTCGGCCTAGGCGCGTCCGTCTGTCTGTCTGTCCGTCTGTCCGTCCGTCCGTCCGTCCGTCCGTACGTTTTCTCCAAAACCGCTACAGATATCACCTTCAAATTTTCAGTGATAACTTATGAGTGCATACAGATGTGGAAGACAAAAAAATTAACTCGATACCTACTTCCTGTTGGCCATTTTGAAGTCAAATGCTAAAATCCTTGTCTGCAAACTTTAAGAAAAACGGCTTCACAGTTGCTTTTAAAACTTTAACATCTTGTTCATTCTAGATCTGATTAGGTTTTGGACCTGTTAGCTCAGTCATGTCAGCCATTTTGAAATTATTTGTAAAGCTAGGAAATGGGTCAAAAGTGAATTTTGCGAGACAAAATGGCGGCCATTTTGGAAATAGGCGAGCTTTTGAACCAGGAGTCATGGGGGAGTTTTCTGAGTATTGATGTTGAACAGAAATAACTTAAAACAGGAATCCTATCGACAGAGGTTTTAAAACGTGCCACTATTGTTGACGGTGAAGTGGATTTCGCGAGTCAGATGGACAAGTCAATGTTAACTAAAATGGCTGAAAATAAAAAACAAGAACACAATTGTGTACACAATGTCCCCACCTATGGGTGATCCAGTCAAATGGTTATCCTCAAAATGAGTAGACAAGACTTTACCGACACAATCTGAGGACGGAAAATCCAAAATGGCCACCTAAAATTTACCCAGAATGCCAAAAAGAACCACCCCTAAAAATTTGAAATTGATCCCTCACACAGTTAGCAAGAAACATGTAAACAAGACTTTACAAACAAGATTTTAGGACAGAAAATCCAAAATGGCTGCCTTGACATTTATCCAGAATGCCAAAAAACTAATCAGATCTAGATTTTCATACTAAGAATCATCCCTGAAGATTTGAAATTGATCTACCATACGGTTCACCTGGAAATGCGTAGACAAGACTTTACAGACAAGATTTTAAGACGGAAAAATCCAAAATGGCCGACAATAAAAAAGTGATAATGAGTTTTTGTTGATTTCTTTTTACAAAATGATTACATATAACTACTGTTAACAATAACATAGGCTTTTACAACAAAGTACACCTGAAATTATTTATAAAGCTACTAAATAGTTGAAGTATGAAAACTGAAAAACACCATTTAATATGATACAAAGTATTATCGCGCGCTAACTTTTCTTAAAACATTCATTCAGCTGTCCTGCATTGTAAAAAGCCATGTCACTGTATAGAGTAGTTGTATGAAATAATTTTGTTACAAAAAATTGGCAAAATATTATATCCGTTTTTTTATTTTCAGTCATTTTAGTTAACATTTATTTGTCCATCTGTCTCGCGAAATCCTTTTTTGGACCATTTGCTTAAAACCTCTGTCGATAGGATTCCAGTTTCAAGTTATTTTTGTTCAACATCAATACAAAAACTCCCCTATGATTCCTAGTTCAAAAGCTTGCCTATTTTCAAAATGGTCGCCATTTTTGTCTCGCGAAATTCAATTTTGGCCTATTTCCTAGCTTTACAAATAATTTCAGGTGTCCTGCATTGGAAAAAGCCATGTCACTGTAAAGAGTAGTTGTATGAAATAATTTTGTTACAAATAATTGGCAAAAAATTATATCCGTTTTTTTCAGCCATTTTACTTAACCGATTTGTTCATCTGTCTCTCAGTCAGTCCAAAATAGTGGCAAGTGGCTTGAAATAATTTTGTTGCAAAAAATATATCAGTTTTTTTTTATTTTCTGTCATTTTAGCCATCATTCACTTTTGAGCAACACCATGTGAGCCCAGTACCGACGGTACTATTTTTTTTTAGTTTAGACGAATGAATAACTAGACAACAGCAACGCCAAAGCGTAGCAAATCCCATAGAACTGCCATGGCTGGTATTTTTACAAACACAGTAGCAAAAATGGCAGCCATTTTTCAAAATGGCCACTTTCTACCAAAAGTGTCATTAGACAGTGTGCCATGCTTATAGTATTCACATACCAAATATGAACAAAATCGCTCCACTACTTTTCCAGTTATAGTAAAATACGTTAAAATGGTTACCATTTTTCAAAATGGCCGCCTTCTGCCAAAAGTGTCATTAGACAGTGTGCCGTGTTTATAGTATTCACATATCAAATATGAACAAAATCGCTCCACTACTTTTTGAGTTATAGTAAAATACCAGAGGGGGAGAAACACCAGGGTTCAAAGATGACATACGCTTACAATGTAAATCTGTATTGAGATGACATCGTCACTGATTGGTCAAAAGTCGACAAACAAATGACGTCATCAATGGCGGTTTCAAAATTTTCGAAATACGCTTCGAATAATATTACGTTCATTTCTGGCGTGTTAACCAATACCATAGCTTCTCATTTCACATCAAGATAAGGAAAGGTGTACAGAATATGCCTATATCAATTAAAACATCCCATCGAAGTGTAGTATTTGATAACTAGCCGATGAAAATTCGAATGAACGATGGTGGTAAGCAAGAGACGTAATTATGTCTGTCATCTTTAAACTCTGGGGCTTTCCCTCCTCTTAGTAGAATACGTTAAAATGGCGGCAATTTTTCAAAATGACCGCCTTCTACCAAAAGTGTCATTAGACAGTGTGCCATGCTTATAGTATTCACATACCGAATATGAACAAAATCGCTCCACTACTTTTCGAGTTACAGCAAAAATCGTAAAATATCGAGTAAAGGCCGCCATTTTTCAAGATGGCTGCCATGTGCTTCTTTATTAGAGAGATTTCGCACACAGTAAAAGTACAACTTATAACGTATACTTATAGGTAAACGTTCAAGGTGTTTCATAGTGTGGGCTTTTCGTCAGGAAAGATCTTCTCGGACTGTAATAAATAAAGGTCAAAGGGATGCCATTTGTACTTTCTTGAATTGTAGCATGTTTAGTTGATCCAAATGTGTTTGTCTAGAATAAAATAGGCTCATATATAGTACATGGACCCCTCTCTTCTCAAATTGACTTTTTGGAGATGCTCGTTATGAAACACCCTGTCATTTGTTGAGCTACTGAATGGGTCGTTTCCAGGAATTGCTAGAACCTACTGGTTTGATTGGTGTTTCAAAATGATGGTTAAAGTATTTGATTGGTGTTTCAAAATGATGGTTAAAGTATTTGATTGGATACTGTTCCTACTCAGCCAATTAATTTTTAAAAATGCTTTCGGTCAATTGTTCCACACTCATGTAGGTAAAGCTTTATACGGAGATCCAACTGTATACGTTTATCATCTACGTAAATATACAGTTTTTAAGTTCATTGAACTTATACTGATCATGAAAACTTTGAAATAATCAACTTGTTTATGTAATGACTCACTTTAAAGGATCATGACTCACTTTAAAGGATCGTGTTTATAATACACTACAACTACTAGGACACGGGATCAAGCATTTAATTATAATGTGCATAATCTACACGTGCAGATGACAGTGCATTCACAGTCTCTAGTTGATGGAGCTTTTCTATATCAGAAATACTTACGTCTATTAAGTACAATTTAAAATTGATTTTAGTAAATATATTAGTTCGACATGACCCTTTAAAATATACGTATACGTATAAGTTGTACTTTCACTTAATGTGCGAAATCTCTCTAATATCTACATTTCTAGCTTTATTAATGTCCTATATATTTTTTTTACATTTAAACATATTGCTATTACAGTTTTACATATTGCACTAAATTGCACAAAAATCAGCACTATAATGGCCCCCATTTTTAAATGAGCGGCCATTCAGCTTTCGAGCAGAACTTCTACTCCCATAGGGTATACGTATACAAAATATGAATAAAATCGGGCAAACGGTATTTGAGTTATTGCCCGGACGGACGGACGGACGGAAACGTTCCCTATATCCCTATATTATATTTATAATTTTATGAGAGAGACAATCAAAACACATGCAATACATATGAAATAATGGAATACAAAATCTGCGCAACAAGTGAGAATTTAAGCACATGAGATACAATGATGATACAAATTAATTGATAAGTCGTATAATTGGCATATTTTCTTGAATTTTAACATTTAATGTCCCAAACTCCCACAAACTGCAGAAAAGTATACACCGTAAATCATATTTACCAAAATGAGTGTCTCCAAGGCTTCATACCAGCGTATGCATAATGTATTTGTCGCGAGTTTGAGCTGAAATTTCGCTAAAATAAAGTAAGGGTAGTCTATGCCAGGTTTGTTTATTGTGGTTAGCTTTTATGGTAAGTGCTCAGAAGCAAATAATTCATGTGCGCAAAATAATCAAATTAGCTGATTGGTTTAAACACACATGCGCACAATGTGTGCCATGTTTTTTTCTCGTGATTTTGTTTCGTTTCATGGAGTTTGCGTTTCACTGCGAAATTTTAAGAAAACGTTTTACCTATAATAGCAAAACTTTTGTTTTATTTGTGCATTCTATCTATCAGACAAGAGTCTAGGCAAATTCATTTTGGTAGGAGCACTCTGTTTAGTTTGAAAACGCACCCCTAATTATTTTATACCAGCACTATACCTTGCATTTGGTGTTCATGAGCAACCCATTTGGCTTATTAGTAATGATATGTTATTTTTTCATTTGTCTGTTCCTTATTAATGGTTTATTGGATGACTGTTAGATGTTAATAAGGTACTTTCAAAAATATGCTTAACAATACAATTAAGTAAACAGAGTATCTTATGTGAACAGAGTGTCTAAGTGAATTTACAGTACAAGAGACGAACTGCCGAGGAAACAGAGGCTTATGCAACACTAGTTTAACGTCGTTAAACTCAATAACGGCGTTCTTTACTATGAGGAATTTTTTGGCCCGTTATTGAGTTTAACCTCTTTACTATTCTTTCCTTTGATGCAAGTTCTGGATCTATCAAAACCATTTTTCCGCGATAACATGCAAGTGATACTTGACAAGAATATAAAAACACATAACACCAAGCGATTTAACACAATATTATTGTGTTAAATGTTCATTTATACTAGATGAAGCGACACTTACCAATCTCTAAAATGACATTTCCGCATGTCCGTCATTGTGTCTTTCCGAGTGTCCCGGATCGTAAAATTAAACTATTAGCGAAACGAAATTGTTGTCAAATAGATTGATAATTATTATCGCGATTACTCGGGATAAAAAGATAAATTTTGAGGATAACAGGTACCTTTGATTGATTTATATAGCGCGTGTATACACACAAAATAGTTAATGGGGCAACAAGGACTGTAGAGAGAAAATTCGATTTTTTGATTTTTTCTGAGCTATCGGGTCAATATTTGGCTCAACATCTTCTTTGACATACCTATTTTCTTAGAATGTATGGATAAACTATCAGCATTAAGAAGTGTAAATTCAGTTCAAAGCTTCTATAAAGGGAGTCCCACTAATAGATTTTTAAGATTCACCACGTTTCAATAGGAATATCAGCTGAAATAATGTTCATCCAGGGGTTTCTTTGTAGATAATAAAAATACATGTTAGTCTAGATGAAATATCCAAACTTAAACTCGCATATTTTGACACTGGTCGATGATCGTTGAATGCCCCCTCCCCCCTGCACTAATTGTTGCACCTTTAATTGCAAACCTACTGTTTGTTAATGCAGTGCCGCGATGACGGTTAATTTCTGATACGATTTGCAATTTCGATGTTACCGGTGTAAAAGGGTAGGGGCTCCTGTCAACTTATGGTCCTACTCTCCATTGATTTATATGGTGACCTCTTTCCCTTATTAACTTACCTACGCTTGTACACAATCAGGGCCAGTAAGGGCCGTTAAGAAGGAGGACCATAATCCCTGGGGGACCATTATTTCTTTCACACCGGAACTGACCGACATTTTCGTTATATTCCAAACCTGTCTCCAATATTTTCGTAATTATGCATCAATAGGGTCTAAGTAGGATACGGGATGTGTGTATGTATTTATAAGGTATGTATGCATGGTTGAATCACATTCTTTATGTAATATTACCATGTTTTCGGGGTTTAATTAGTTCCGCTTGTCGAAACCTGCGGAACGATTAAATTAACGCATCAAAGGCAAAATTGATCATGGAGGTTAGACCTAGCCTGGGTCATAAGACACGTCAGATAAGAAACGAGGCCCAGGCTAGGTCTAATGTTGTTACACTGCTTCAAAGGCAAGCAGTTGAACCTGGAAAAGAAATCTAAAGACTATTGTGCAATTTTATAAAGAAAAACATATTCATATTGCACACGAATGACATTTGTATATCCTGGATACTGTAGCTTGTAAATTGGCTTATAAAGTCTGCAACCTCTTATATTAGACTTCAAATTACAAGGGGGCACCGGCTTATTGCACTATACACTAAATAATCTGAAATATACAAATGTTATTTGTGTGCAATATGAACATATTTTTCTCCATATTATGGCACATTAGTCTTTAGATTTCTTATTTTTCAGCGTCAACTGATTGCCTTCGAAGCAGTGTAACAGACTGTAATGCAACACAACAGCAACAGTTTAATAAATTCAAAGTACTCAATGGAAGTTTGAATCGAACTCAAAATCTCATGCGTTTTCAGTCAGGAGGGGGTGCGACTGTGGCATAAACAAGCCAAAAAATAAGATTTAAGGTTCAGCTGGAAAGTAACATTTTGGTAAAAAATTGCTATACCTGCACATGTTATTTTCTGGTACAAAATTAAGTATGAAGGCATGTGTGTATTTCCTTGCTTTTTTCAGGAAAGTATCATTACACTGTCTACTTTTAGTAAACCTGGAAACAGGTCAATGGTAGCTCCTGTGTTGTCTGGAAACTTTGAAAGAAAATTTGGAAAAAAAAGAAATTGTGAAATATCAGAATTTCCTGTAGTTCCCATTGAACTCCTACTAGATATTCTTAAAGAAGACAGTGTAATGATACTTTCCTGAAAAAAGCAAGGCAATTGACACATGTCTTCATACTTCATTTTGTACCAGAAAATAACATGTGCTGGTATAGCAATTTTTTTACCAAAATGTTACTTTCCAGCTGTACCTTAAGTCATGGGTTAGGTTACTTACTCAGCTATCTACTCAATTACTTACTTAGCTTCAACCTGGAGTCTGAATTGAACTCTGTTCTATTCACCATTCTAGTTATTTATGGCCAAAACTGTAATACATAATTCTTTACCATTGCGTACCATTGTTACGATTGCATACACATTGTACTATATTTATGAGCAAATCACTTATTCACACATGCACAAGCTACATGTATAAAAGGAAGGAAAGACTTACCTTTTAGCCCTCTGGAAGATACATAGATTTATTTCAGCTGTAACTGTAAAAGCTTTCCTTTTATCTTCATATTCATCGAGTTCACGGTTTGCGTGTCCAAAACTTAACTACTTTTACATATCTGATTTCCTTACAACCCACTGATTAATTGTGTGACTGAACGAACAAACCCCTACCAATTCCTAAAATACAAAACAACATTCTCGTACAACCCTCGTGTAAAGATTAGTGCAGGTATATAATATAAGCGATTTGAATTTTGTTGGAACTCATGATGAAGTTTATTTCTTTAAATGATAAATAATTGAAGTAATTAAAACTGACAAACTTTTAAAGAATTCATTTGGACGTTAATTTTCCTTTCGGGTCACAAAACTACTTACTCGTATAAATACACATGCTAGATGGACTTATTACTCACTGCATGAACTATTCAATATGATATTGTAAATGGACCAAAATAACCTCAAATGCACACACGCTCGCATAAAAACCGGTTTACTAATAAAAGGCAACGCACAAATGGCCGTATCAAAATACACTCGATAACATTACTCCTTATATTATTATAAAGATGGAGTTCATCACGAATCAGAAAACGAATCATTTAAAGTTTTATGCAATATTGTGCATCTATAATTTTGAGATTTCCCCCTTTGTGGGCCCAGAAAAAGATTTTTGGGCCCCAAATAATTTCGGTTCCTAAAATTTTGTAGGAACTTAAAGTCCCCGATAAATCGGGCTACGTATACCGCCGTGTTTACATTAGGGGATTAAGAGTTTATTTTTTATTTAGGTATGCAAGCTACGTATATCAATATTAGGCCTTCATTCATGTACTCGTGTGCATGTAATCAGCATGCCCTTCAATATTATGTAAACCAGGCTATTCAAGTACTGTATAATGTACACTATTTATGTGTGTACTACATACAATACAATTCCCTGGGAAACAAAACACAAATACTTTTTATATGTTCAAAATGAGCCATTTGATTGATGCAAACACTAAACAGCTTCATAAATAACATCTACAAAGTATATCTAATAGTAATTTTCAATTTCAATTGTGAAACTTCCCTGGTTACGATTATATGGGAAATCATCACGAGACGAAGATCGTTCGCCTTCCTGGCTTACCTCTGAATCGTGTACCTGGTAATCTCTTTATATAGTTTAGCGAGAGCGGTGCGCCTGCGCAGTTTTAAACTTTGGCGCACACTTTAAAAAATGGGCATATTTTGGCATAATTTGGCCTTTTAGACCACTGGGGTGGACTGACTTTTCCACATCAACCATAAGCACAGGATTTCATTCTGTGTTTTCATTAACACTGCTGCACACTATTTTTTCGATTACTGTACACCATAGGCGGAGCCAGGGGTGTGATGGGTGCACCCCCACCAAAAAGAAAAAGAAAAAAAAGAAGAAGAAGAAGAAGAAGAAGAAGAGGAAAAGAGCTTTGAAATGCTTTTTATTTGAAGCTTCTATAGCTCAATTTTGAAGGAAGTGCATCAATTTTGGTGAAATTCAAGATAAATCCTAATTTTTGGCTTGTTTATGGCACAATCGCACACCCTAGCTGACTGAAAATTTTTTGGGCGATCGCACCCCCCTTACTGAAAGCTGGCTAAGCCCCTGTACACGTACATGTACAAGACCCTTTTGGGCAAAAGTAAACAGTTACCTTAGGTAGAAGTTCACTGTTTATTGCGTAGTCAGTTCGCGCATCTCTAATGGCAAAAACGAAAACTGAATAAATTGATACCTCTTTTTATGTTTTTGCTCAAGATCCGGACGATTTTTGTTATATTAAAAAATGAATTTGGTAAATTCAAATATTTTTCTAGAAATAACCAAACAGCCAATCTTTCTAATTTTCACATATTTTGTTATTTATCAGTATATCCTTCACCTGGATTTTTTCAAGAAAACCTGAATTGTAGAAAAAGGTTGATCAACAGTGAAGTTCTACCTTAAAGTTAAGGATGTAGTTTTCGGGGTTGAAAACAATAATGAAACAAAAAAATATCGTATTTTATGTAGGACGGACCAAGAAGAATAACCAAAAAACATCATTTTAGCTCACATGGTGAACTTTAGCAATCGCTCACTTGTCCGTCTATCTGTCCGTCCGTCTGTCTGTCAATATAGTTCCACGTTTTAAAATATTTGTCGATAGGATTCTAGTTTTAGGTTATTTTTTATTAATTTGCAATACAAGAAAGCCCCCTTTATTCCAGGTTTAAAAGCTCGCCATTTTAGTTGCAGAAAATTCACTTCTTGGGCATTCGTAGCTTTATAAATTATTTCAGGTGTCCTGTCACTATTAACAGTAGTTTTATGAAATATAAAAAAAATTATCTGCTTTTTTACTGTTTTCCATTTTATTCAAACCCATGTAACTGTAAACAGTAGTTTTATGAAATAATTTTGTAAAAATCGGCAAAATCTAGATCTGCTTTTTATTGTCGACTTGTGCCTGTCTGTCTGTCAAAAATAGTGCCACGTTTTAAAAACTCTGTCGATGGGATTCTAGTAACTTTAAAAAGTGAGCAATGTCATTAGTATTGTGATAATAACGTTCCTTATACCTATTTATTACAGGTCGTGTGGACCATTGTTGCCCGATTTATAGCAAAAACATTGACTTTTGCACGTTGGTGATGATGCGCCTTTTTTAATAGATCTCATATCTTAGAAGGGTATCAGTTCAAAAAAAATACTAGATGGCCTATCATATTTTGCCATGCACTGCGCCTATTCATTTGGCAATTCAGTTGTAAAATTTGTTGAGTTTTCTTGCAGAAATCGCCTAATCCTCCCTCCATCCATTTTGTACGATCACCTGGCGTGAGTAAGCTCATTTTTAGGTTGCTTTTGTCAGTTACCAGTACAGATAAGTCCCCTGTGCATGACTCCTAGTTCAAAAGCTCGCCAATAACTTCATATTAGAGAGGTTTAGCTACACGTATTTAACAAACCTTGAACGTGAACTTCAAAGCGCGCACAGATAAATGACGTCAGATTTGTTTTTTTTCTGTTGGCCAGCGTGAAGAGTACAGGTTTTTACATGAGATTATCATATTGGTGCAATTTACAGACACGTATTCAACAAAGCATGAACGTGAACTTGTATGCGCGCGCAGAACAATGACGTCAGATTAGTCTACTTTCTAGAGGTAAGCGTGAAAGTTACCTGACATGTTTTTACGTGTAGATGAGCTATTACACGTCGCTCATTACGTGATTGTTTTTAGTAATGTTCTAGGATGGCCCAGGAGCCAGGTTCACGGTTTGCATTTGAACGTGTAGCTTAACCTCTCTATTGTAAAAGCTTCAGACGTCTTTACCTACAGTCGAAATGTTGAGGCATGCGCAGACCTCTATTTAGTGATATTTTCATTTCAAATATGGCGGCCAATCCGATGTCTGACGACCCTTACAAAGAATCTAGGCAGTTTGCATTTTTACCTCCTGTGAAATAACAAGTGGAATTTAGTAGTTGTTTTGTGTTTTATTATCATTCTGCATCGTAATTCTATGTGATGTGGTGTTGAAATGTCAGCAGAAATACATATCCATACGATAATCGAGTGAATCAGATAACAGATTTTTCGAAAACCCGTCTCGTGCTAAGAGTGTAAAAACTTGTATTAACATGCTTAAAAGTGCCAATGTGCACATCAATGTCAAGCTAAATCAATGTTGTGTCTAAAACAGGTACCCGATTTACTCAAAACAGCTTGTCATTCACGTATACACGCTTAGCAAACACGGCGAAATGACCTGAATCTTGGAATTTCGTTCAAGAGCTAGTAATGTTTGCTCCGGTCTTCGTCATAAGTGTTCATCAGACTTCACGCATGCGCAGGGGAAAAACCATCAACCAATAAGGTTTATAAATCAATTTTGCGCATGCGCCTTACAACGGTAAACAAATTCGTATTTATAAACGAACCAGTTTGAGATAACCCGATATCAGTCGGAGAAATCTGACGATCTACGAAACTCACTTCAAAAAATCAAATGCGGACTGACGGCGTATTCTACTATGTTTGGATCTAAGATTTTCAGTATAGATAAAGTCTTTTATGATCTTTCGAATGAGGTAAGTCTCTAGTTCGAAAGACAATCGTATCAACTTGAACAAAAGTTGAGTTTTGACGAAAAATTTTAACATGCGCAGAAGTCCCATTTTCGTTGTACCATATTGACTGCCTAGTTGAGATGAGATCAGCAAGGAATGTTAGCAAAACATATTTTCGTTTAGTGGACATATTTTCGTTTGTATAATTATCAGACACATAAGGATTATATAAAAATTTATCCACTTAAAATGAAAATATTTTAAGGAACGTTCTTATATACCTGCCATGTTATTTAACCCGAATAAGCCACCCGGTGGTGATACTGGTAACTACCTACTCGCATCTGGGTAATTGCAGATGGCAGTATACCGATATCAAGTATTATTATATACCCAATATGTAACACTAATCCTGATTGGTCAATACCTAGTCGCGTGTTCCGAAATAGATTTACTATTTCCCTCGGAAAGTTATATTCCCTCAAATGTGACGTCAGCGGGAATATACATTTGAACTATTGCCCGCTGACGTCACGATTCAAGGAGGATTGGCTCCCAGAATCGAAGTCGATATTTTCCAACAATGAAAACGCCGAAATGTCGTTATTTTCTGAAATTATAACCGATTATAAATTCAAAATAAACAGTTCAAAATATTCGAACCAATATCTCGATCATTTCTTGTGAGTTTTGGAATTTTTCGTTAGGAAATAAGACCAAAATTCACAATTCAAATGTTGAAGTGAACAAAATGGCGGTCGTTGGAATTCAAATTTTGTAGCACGACATGCCCATATATGGGACAGAATATCGATGCTGCACTCTGGGAGCCAATCCTCCTTGGTCACGATTGCAACTTCTATTACCCTTGGAAACGTCTGCGTATCATCACTGCGCAGACGAAAAACAAAAAATGGAGGATGAGCACAAACACAAATCAACTCCGTTCACCATGACAGACGTGCGTGAACGATACAATATAAGCAAGGTGGATAAAGTTCCCTAAACTCAATACGTCTGTGTAATTTCAAGTGTTTTTATGATAATCTATTCCGCGTGTTAAACGCGATTGAATTTGTCAAGTGAGAGTCTCAGAGGCAAAAATTTCTGTTGAGCATCTGATGACGTCACAGCTTATAATGCTAACAATGGACCCGGGGAGGGGGCTTTCTAAGCCTTTATGGCCTTCGCAGAGGAAACGGGACAAGAGTCAGTATAGGGTATATAATAAAACAAATAGTGACTGCCTAATTTCGAGCAATAGTGTAAATGATTTCCCCTTGGGAATATCCTCTACAATGTACTATTCCCTCAGCCTGCGGCTTCGGGAATAGTACATTGTAGAGGATATTCGCTCGGGGAAATAATTTACACTATTGCCCTCAATCACGGGGTGCCATCGAATAATTTTGGCAACGTACCGGAGAACGACATTTTACTAAGAAATGGCAATAATTTAGCACAATATATTTTTTAACTAGAGTTCTACTTTGATTTTGACGAAAGTAAGTATTCCATGCAATAACTATTTCATTCATGAGTTTGTAGGAATTCTGTTGGAACCCAGTTCTGATCAAGTACGAAGTTATTGAAATCGGCGCAGACGGACTTTACTCCGAAAGATGGTTTTTCGATTATAACTTTTCACAACAATTAAGTATAGACTTTTGAAAAAAGTACAGAATAGTCCTTATACTATTGAATAATTCTGTTATTTCTGATTCACACGACTCTGATTTGTTTAATTAAAAAAAAAGTTTTAAAAATGTTACTTAGGAACGTAACCGGAGCTGGGAACGTAACCGGAGCAGATCAGTTGAATTATATAATTTAAACAAATAAAATATATGATTTAAAGCATATATATTATTTACAAACACATATGAATGTTAAAATGAGCATTTATTACCCTTCACTTACAGGAAAATCAATGCATGGAAAAATATATAAATTTTCTAAAGATATATTTTTTGCACTTATATTTTAGAGTATCAAAAAATTCACTGATAGCTATTGCTTCAGTGGGAAGCTGGGAAGTAACACAAGGAGATACATGTATAGTACAAAGTTCTGTCAAACAAAGAAGAGGCAGTCATCAGTCGCATCGCTAATTAAAAGCAAATAGGCCTAATACAAAAGTGATGCCTTAAAATAGTTATTTTTTCATGAGTTAATAAATTCCTAAATTGTTCAGTGATTTTTTTTAATGTGATTGATCATGTTTGCCCTTTTCTTCCATGTTTTTCCACAATGGGGACATTCAAATACAACTTTTCCGTGGGTAATCCTTTTGTGTTTGTCCAGATATTCCTTGGTTTTAAAGGATCGTACTTGCATATCACTAAGTCCATTTTCTTGACATATGTCACAATAAAACTCAGTGTTTGCATGTGTCTTTTCGTGTCTGCGCAAACGTCTTTTAGATAGAAACTGTTTTGGGCATTTTGCACACACAAACATCTCATCTTGATCACTGGATCTATGTGCTATCGTCATATGTTCAATAAGATATTCCTTTCTTGTAAACGTTTTGTCACAGTTATAACACGTATATGGAACGAGGCATCCCGCTCCATGCCTACTCCTCATGTGTCGCTGCATGTTGTAATTTGTAGAAAAATGACTGCCACAGAAGTGACACACATGCGCCATACTGAAATTTAATTAAATACAAAAAGCCGTTTGTCAAGTTGAGCATTAGGAAATATTATATTCTTAAAAATGAATCCCCTTAGCGAAAGTTGCCTTTGTGCCTGATTACACTGTACAATTAACATGCTATGAACATATATTCCTTGATAATTCCAAGGTAAGCAAGAGGTAAGGAATATATTTTTATTCCGAGTGACAGTATGACATTGACTGAAAGACATACATGTAATATGATATTTTTGAATTGGTGTAGCGCTGCGTGTCAATGTGATATTCTTTTATTCCATAAGATTTTGAGTGTAATAATTGAAATTGCACTGAATCGACTAAAACTCATACTGACTACGAATATGTACTATTGGAACGATTCGATGGCACAAGATTGGATAGAATCGTTCATATTAACTATTTTCTCTATTCATGTATTGTCATTTGCCTTCTTTAACAATTCAGGAAGATTTTACAGCATACACGAGTTACTCTACTTCAAGGTAAAGTAAGATTATTATAATAACCTATACGTATTAGCCCTCGGAATAAAACCCCGCTTGTTGATTTCCCGCCAAATTGAACTATTTGACACGAAATACATTTTTCAATGATATAATACATTTAGCACATTATTAAAGCAAGAGTGTAGGATAATAAGAACATCCTATGATATTTTCAGAATATCATTTAAATCTACTCGATGATATTGACATATACACTCGTTTGCTGGACGCTTTCTCGTTCAGATATAAATATGACCTAGCAAATAAAAATGATATTCCTTAAAATCATGGGACATCCTATAATTACTTACTTGATTAGTGTCTTTACTGGAGAAATGTACTGAAGGTTTTCTTGAAGCACAACAAAACAATATTAAAAGAACACCTTTACGGAATTTTTAACGTTAGATGTTAAACGCTCAAGTGCACATGAACCTAATCCAATACTATTACACATAGGTAATATGGTTATGCAATTTCAAAGAGAATACAGGAAGTGATGAATCATCAAATACACTTTCACGGTGGAGAAATTAAACGCCTAAATGCAGGTTTCGAAATATAAGCAGATCGATAACATGTTTGCTTTGGATTTTTTTGAGGACTGACACATAAATCGAGCTCAGATGTTCACATAAATTGTAACCACATGAGTTCAGTGTTCTAGTTCAATGTGTATCCAGTTTTATGTTAAAAAAACACACAATTCATATTACATTTAAATCATAATCTACTATAAATGCATTGTATTATAATTGACATATACATATACTTAACAATATACCGTTTGATGACGATGTTTCCTTCTAATGCGCATCTTAATCATTCAATACGTACTGCCACAATAGTCGAATAAACGCTATTAAACAGACGGACGAAAGTACGGACATGTGACACTGTACATTTAAACATGAGGATATATTTAACTTAGGACCCTCATATTCAAACATTTAGGTGTCCATTGTAAAAGCTCTTCTTGTAAAGGAAATGTATAATATAGTTGAATAAATCAATTTAATTTTGTATTTCATATAATTTTGCTTCTTTGGAAGGCTTGCCATTTTGAAGGAGATGCGCCGTTAGGCAATGTACCAGACGGTGAATTTAGTAGGCACGCATTCAATGAGGATTGAGTCCCAGAATGCAATATCGATGTTCTTTCCTTTCGTTTGGTTCACATACTATGCCCCAGATAATAAAAAAAACTTGAATTCAATAGGCCCGATCTTGAAGGATGTCGTGAATACAAAATTCAAAATTATCAGTCGCTATTTTTTCCCTTCATATTTTTAATCGCGCAAATTTAGTCTTATTACAGAATAAAAAATCCAAAACACGCAAGAAGTGATGAAGATATTAGCCAAAATCTTTTGGATCGCTGATTATGAATTTATGGTCAGTTTATTGTCAGACAATAAGGACATATTCATTACTGATTTTTGGAAAATATCGAGATTGCATTCTTGGAGCCAATCCTCCTTGGCACGCGTTTAACTACTCTACCGTGAGAATACAAGGCCGACAAAGAGTTACTTGGGAGGTTAGCTAGACGTTTTAAAAATAATTTAAATGTGTAGTATTAAAATCTACTTATTTTATTGATCCCGTTTCAGGTGCCTTATATCAACTTCCTAAAACCGTTATACTTAATAATGAAGCAAGACTCTCACGAAGAAAAGAACTATTCCCTGGGAGACTATGTACAGAATCCCAACACGTTAGCTAACAGTTCCCTTAAAGGGATCCAACACCTTGCAAAACTTCTTAACGGAGAGGAATAAGGGAAAATGCTTGCCGGATTTTGAATTTGTGTATTTTTTAATGATTTTTCACCGTCTTAGAATTTCAATTTTTTTCCTTTGAAAAAATGGGATTTGCATTGTTTTCCAATTAGACAAATGAGTAAACATGAATAGCTCGAAATCTAACGGTGAGATTTTGTTTTAAAAAATCATGGATATCAAGGCTAAATATAGCTATACAATAAACATAAAAAAACAATGCTTGGACTCTTCATATTCACACAAAAAATTAATTAGTAAATGAGGTTTGATATTTGTGAGAATAAGTTGTACGAGTCGCAATGCTCTACAAACACCAGACTACAGGGTGGATTAGGATCAATGACACACATAAAAATTAATTTAAAAACATTTCATGATAATTATCTCAAACAAAAGCAGTTAGCGAAGGATACATTTCATTACACTCAATAAATAGTTATCACTTTTGACTATATATACATATCTCATGGGAATGTATTTCCATCATCCGCTCAAGATATCATATTTTAGCTTCGAAAATCATAATCGTTGGATAATACATTTGTCTCAGAATGATAGGCCACCCTGTAGCAATGTAGCTTTCACTTGAAGTTTACCCTTGAGAATAATGAACTTACTTTCAAATTGGTCTTGCTTTTGTGGTGTATGTGGCTTTTTAGCAAATCTGCCACGCTCATTTCTTTCCAGAACCATCTTGTTCACATGTAACACTAGGCTATACGCGCATGTATAGACAGATGACATAGATATACATATAAATTATATATTGCACCTGTATTTACTTACATCGGAATATTCCCTTTGGAAAAATGCAAATGCATGAACATATATTTTCATCTTATATATGACTTCAAGCTAACATATTATTTCATATTTATATTTTTATAGTTAGTCTAACATAAATAATAGATCCATGAGAACAATATTCTTTGTTTTCTTAAAAATTGTTGGGTTTACTGTGAATTCAATAAATTACAATTTGCAAGGGGTAAGTATACTGTATGACCTTAGTTGCAAAGTACTGTTTATATATGCAGCTCAATAGCATAAAATATGTTAAATGAAGCATATGGTATGGATTAGTCCTGTGACACACAAACTGACCAATACATGAGGGTATTAGCTACTTTTCACAGAAACCAAAGGAGGACAGTGCTTTTATTTCAACTGGGATCTTACCTCCACACGACTGATCATGTGACCATGGTGTTGGGTCCCTTTAAAAACGCATTGGTAACCTCCCTATTATGTATTTTGTACAGTAACATGTTCTAGATGTTTAATCGTCGTACGCTAATTGTCTGAGAGGCATGGATCTGACATAATGATATTAGAAGGTAATTGCATTTATTTCACTGTATTATTTGGGATTTTGGAAAATGCGGTGGGTGTGATCGTAAAAAGGCACTGGGCGTAGGGGTTATCAGATATGTTAATATTAATTAGAATAGTATATACATAATCAATCAACACATATGGTAAAATATATGTTAACAAATATTATGCATCAATATCATCATCATATAAAAATATATAATCATCTAGCTTCATGAATCATCATTTATTATCCCATCGAACGAAGTTCGGAGGGATATAGTGAACGCCTCCGTTCGTACGTACGTCCGTTCGTCCGTCCGTCCGTCCGTCCGGGCGATAACTCAAATACTGTCGGCCCGATTTTGTTCATATTTTGTACACATGTGCTCTATTGGGGTAGAAGTTCTGCTCGAAAGCAGGGGGGAGATCTCCCAAAGTTCAGACTTCGTATTCGATCACGTGATATCCATGTGATAGATCCATATAAGGCTTATATGACCATATAGGAATTCAACTTTCCGTTGTCCGCCATATTAAATATCATGTGATAGATCGAAATAAGGCTTGTATGACCATTTAGGAATTTACCGCCATTTAAATATCATGTGACAAATCCATATAAGGCGTGTATGACCATAAGGAAAAGCTAAGGGGAATCCCCGAATACGAAAGAATATGAAGTAATTATGGGAGCTACTCACTCCTCCTGGCTCGAAACGCGATTTTCAAAATAGCCGCTCGTTTCAAAATGGTGGCAGTTTCAGTGTCGATATTACAGTAATTTAGGTACAATATATATAAAACTGTAATAGCAATGTATTTTAAATGTAAAAAAGTTATGTAAGACATTAATTAGCTAGGAATGTAAATATTTAAGAAAGCCATCTTGAAAAATGGCGGCTTTTACACACTATTTTACGATTTTTGCTACAACTTAAAAAGTAGTAGCGATTTTGTTCATGTTTGATATGTGAATACTTATAAGCAAAGCACGCTGTTTTATGACACTTTGGCTAGAAGGCGGTCATTTTGAAAATGGCCGCCATTTTTACATGTGTAATTTTACGTTTTACTATTACTCAAAAAGTAATAGAGCGATTTTGTTCATATTTGATATGTGAATACTCATAAGCATGACACACTGTTTTATGAAACTTTGGCCAAAATGCGGTCATTTTGAAAATGGCGGCCATTTTTACATGTGTTATTTTACGTTTTTTACTATAACTGAAAAAGTATTAGCTATAGAGCGATTTTGTTCATATTAGATATGTGAATACTCATTAGCATTGTACATTGTCATATGACACTTTGGCTAATAGGCGGCCATTTTGAAAAATGGCCACCATATAAATGTACGTGTGTGCGATTTTGTTGAAATTTTACATGGACCTACTTAGAAACATATTCCTTTTGGGTAATGAGCGACCATTTTTAAAATGGTGAATTTTTAATTTTTGCCCTAACTGAAAAAGAAGTAAAGGATTTTGTAATGGCAGCCATGACTGTTCGATGGGATTTGCTACGCTTCGGCGTTGCTAGTGTCTAGTTTTCAACTCTCATCAACTATCACACCTTATCATTTTAGTCATCATCTATCATTAATGTTAAATCAATCATCTATCGCCCTCTATCATCATATTTTATATTATCGTCTAGCATCAAATGTCATCATTTTAACATAACATGTATTATCCTTTAATTTCATCCATCGGCCATCATATTTTATCTTAAATTCATCGAGCATCGATCATCATTGGTCATTATCTATCGTCATCATTATTTGAAGACCATCTAGACGTTACTATACTCAAAATAATGTTGTAAAACTCAAATATTTGAAGAATAAATGTTACCTATAGGGGTACTATATAATATTTTCTTGATTTTGCATGACATAATCTTAAAAGATGCGTAATTTGCGTGATATACGAGTATATTCACACGCAAAAATTGTGTATGACTCCCAATTTTTGCATCTTATGCGTGATAAATACGCGTAATGCGTGAGGGTTGACAGAGCAATGATGTTACCAGACGATTGTTACATACCTTCTGTCGTCATGGTTCAAATGATTATTGCAAAATTATCAATGTTTGAAGTAATAATTTTATTTTCAGTGAAATGGGTAGAACCAGGCGAAAATCACGACTTGGTTTACTTGGTAGGAAGCGGGTACTGAGAATTCCGATCAAATCGTCTGAAATATATAATTATGTCTCATCACCTACTCCTAAAGTTAAAAGAACAATGACTCCGACTTCCTCATGCAAAAAAGCAAGAAAACGATTAAAAATTCAGCTCACTCCTTTGAAAGATATCAGAACCAAACTTGACTTTAGCACATTTTCTGACAAATGTTCGGCAGCAGTAGGTAATTTCGATGACGATGAATGTTTTCCATTGCCAGACAATGTAGAAGAATGTGAACCTTTTTCCGATAGTGTTGAAGAAAAGTGTCTGGATGATGATGATATGTTGAAAGAATTGGTAAACCTGTTACTTAAATACCAGTGGAATGATTTGGTTGAATGAATACATACTGATGCCTAGCGATGACCGCTTTTTATCAAAATGGCCGCCTTTTGTCATTAAAGATATAATCTTTGATAACCAAATACAAGTTTACAGATTTCCAGCTAACTTGCTGATGCCTAGGAATAGAAGAGCTCTGCTCAAGAATAAAATTTTGAAGATGACAGCTGAATTTCCTAAAAAAAATTGTTAGGTGGGATTTGCTACTCCTTGAAGTTGCAGTTATCTAGTTTCGAATAGAATTGCCAGCTCTTTCAAATTTATGCCACGCATTTATGTACGAATAACACCCGGTGATATTTCTGGAATTATGAAGATCCATGTGACATTTGTCGGAAAATTTTTCATCAGCCTCATGTTGTTCATATCGCTTATCAGTCCCATAAACGTTTGATAAACGTAACTAATTTTTTTAAATTGTTTGATTTTAAACATGGGATCAACCCAAAATCATATCTAGTGATATCATTTTATTGCCTCCTAGATATCAAATGTCAACGCTCAATCGCTTTGCTCATTTGTGCTGATATTGATATCAACTTTTCCATTTCTAATAATACACAATTCATTTTATATTGTTTATCTATTAGGTCTTTCTTCATTCAAACTAAAGCAAGAAGGACAGTTTACAGAGAGGTTCCCATGTCGGATAACCCCATTAACTTGAATCATGTCGTGAGACCTGAAGGACGCGTGCACATAGAGATCATATATCCTAGGTATGAACAGTACAGAGTGAGTCAAATGTATTTAATAATTAATTAATTAATTATTGGTCCGTTATGTCGAAGTTGTATTTGAATTACTTGAATCATCCTGCACTGCAGTACCAAGATTTGATAAACTTATTTTGGAGGCTACTCGGTGCAAATAACTTTCTTTTTATAATTGTACTTGTATTGCAGGGATCACTTTTTCGACACGCCACAAAGACGTAAAGGCCATAAAGAAAGACAATTCAAGATGCCGGAACCTAGAGGTATCGCACCAGGACAGAACCCAGTTCGATATCATTACAAGACAGATTTCTCAAAAGTAAAAGACTCTGTAAAGGCTGGTGTTTCTGTTGAAGAGGTTGTGAATGGGAATTAAGAGACACATATTAATGGGGAATAATTGGTAAAACGTTGGTTGTTCTGATTGGATCATTCATAAACATTTATCATATAGAATGAACATTTATGATATTATCTCAAAATGGACTGTTTCAAGAGGCAAGAAGCATTGTCGGTTCAAACAGGGTGTTAGTATGTTAAGCCATTATAAAAGTTTCGATCAAGCTGAATTATAAATGTAAGAAGAGAAAAATATTCAGACAGTGTACCAAGTAGTATATTTATCAACAACTTTTAACGTAGAGAAAATGAATAATATAAAATGTTAAAATGCCGTCTAATTATTAAGTTGTTAATATTTTGTATAGCACTGTATGTTAAGTTATTTATCTACATCTGATACTCTTGACATGACTAAAACTGAGAAATATGGATGAACGTGATTTTTTAAATATTTTTATAATTGAATTTCCAGACTTCACCAATGCGTAACTGCGAATTTATTTAAGGAATAAAGAATCATGTATTATTCTAAATTGGAAATATAAAAGCATGAGTGTATGTACTAACCCATACACATAATGCACGAAGGCGAAGCCTACTTGGTGTGATAGAATTATAGAACACTGTCTATTAACGACTGAAAAGCAATGTTCTGTAGTTTAACTAGAAAAAATCATTCACTTTCTTTCTTGCTTAATGACCCACGCCTAGGTTTATCGAAACAAAGATGGATAACAACTGGTTTTGCATAAAACAATAAACGGGCACTCACTCAAACATCTTACGTTTATATGGAGGGGGGGGGGTTTAGGTGAAGAATTTCAGAAAGCATATGTTGATTCGATTTGGTCGAGCACATGACAAGTACTTAACACACCTACGCTATATATAGTTCGTTGTATCCTTTTAATAATCTAGCATTTAAATGCTTTTATTTCCCCTGAAAAAGAGAAGTTGTCTTAGAAGTATAATACATGTATGTATAAACAGTATATATATACGAAATTAGTATAACAGAGTGGTTTCTAATAGTTCGCTGAACAAATACAATGGGTGAAATCAGATGGAATTATTTGCTTACTACATTTAATCACTTCATTCTCCATACAATGATTGTTCTATGTTTGATAGCCTTTCTAAGGTAAGTGCACTTATGCATGGTAAATACCAAATTTAATTTTTCACAATGGATACATTTTTTTCTTTAAATAAAATGTAATAAATACGCATTCGAACAATCCCGTATGTTTTTAAATTAGTATATGTGCTTTGAATCATATATTTTAATTTTTTCGATTAAATAATTCAACTGATCGGCTCCGGTTACGTTCCCAGCTCCGGTTACGTTCCTAAGTAACATTTTTAAAACTTTTTTTTTAATTAAACAAATCAGAGTCGTGTGAATAAGAAATAACGGAATTATTCAAAAGTATAAGGACTATTCTGTACTTTTTTCAAAAGTCTATACTTAATTGTTGTGAAAAGTTATAATCGAAAAACCATCTTTCGGAGTAAAGTCCGTCTGCGCCGATTTCAATAACTTCGTACTTGATCAGAACTGGGTTCCAACAGAATTCCTACAAATTCATGAATGAAATAGTTATTGCATGGAATACTTACTTTCGTCAAAATCAAAGTAGAACTCTAGTTAAAAAATATATTGTGCTAAATTATTGCCATTTCTTAGTAAAATGTCGTTCTCCGGTACGTTGCCAAAATTATTCGATGGCACCCCGTGTCAATGGCAGTCACTATTTGTATACTATTTGTAGATGCGACAAAATACTTAAGAAGAGTTTAGGACAAACTCTAAACGATGTGCTACCCAAAGCCTGGGTAGAGGTCCATGATTGGCTTGTCAAAACAATGAAACAAAAATAACGTTCCTCGAAAAATTATTATCTCTTTTATGTCTTTTACTGGCCCTGATTGAGATAAACTTTTAGTAGAAATAGTTATAAATAGGGTACTTTAAGGTAAGGGGATACAGTACTAACCAAAGATTGCAAAAAGGCCTTAGTTAAGCTTTAATGTACTGTTTATAAACCCCTAGATATTCTTAATATTGAAAATGGATTCCAGCAATACTACCCCAAATGAATGTACATACTTGTTGATGTTGGATCAACTTGAGTACTTCTGAGAAAATGAGGATTTCAGCAAGGGTGCATTGATTAGCATGGTATCCCGATGCTAAGTCATTGGTAGATGGTGTTTGTTCCCATATTAAGTCAATGCACCCTTGATCGAGTCTCAACAAGTAGATTCATATCGGATAGTCTTGCTAGAATCTATTTTTAATAGCATAGGGGTTCTCGGGACGTTGGGCTTGCTTTTTAGAACTTTTTGTTGGTAGTAATAGTTGTTTTAAGGGACATCTATTCCTCTAAAACCGGTGTAGCAGTATTCGAGGATATGCTTTTCTATATGGCCATACCCGCCACTAATTTAGCAAAAGTAGCCTGCTAATTAGCCTTGCCCAAGTCGGTATTTTCTTACTTATCTGATCTTGAATTATTACCGCCTTGTACAATCCAATACATCTCCGCTAATATTATGCTGAGATATTCAACGGTTTCGAGATTTCCATAATACCTACGCTATCAGGGGTATCGCGAAACCTTATTTATGAGGCGGTATCGCCGCCAGAACCGCGCGAATGATCGCGACTAATGAAATACAATTTTACGGTTGCGCGATCATAATCAACCAATAGAAAGCGATAATTTATTCGCGCGATTGTTTCTCAAGTCCCAACTTCGCCCGACTTAAATTAACCATTCAAAACCATGTTTTCGAAAGAATGATTAGAAGTCCGAAATATTCGAGTCAACCACAAAATCTTCTTATTCGTTGATCTAATTGCTGGTAGGGATGCCGATTTGAAGCAGTTTATTAGAGGAGTTCGGCGAACAGTTCATAACGCAGCAAGAACCGTTGAAAACGGCAGTTTAACGATAAATAATGGTATTTACAAGTCTGCCTGTCTAGTACCCATCACAAAATCTTTAATTAAATACGTAGTTAACCAATATTCATTAGTCGTGTTATTTGGTTTTGACTTTCTCGACCATTTGCTCAACTATTTGTTCGGAAATATTACCAACATTTGAAAATACAATCATGTGGTTTAATAGTTAGGTGAATGTAGTTTTGTAAATGTTTAACATTGTAATTTATAATCATACGCATGGGTTTTAAATCAGGATACTAATATCCACTGGATTATACCACTTTTTGCAGAAAGTATGGACGGGAATTTTAGATTATGGTAGATAACAATTTTGAAGACAAATGGCAAAAGAATTTATCCCATTTATAACACAACTGAAATAATTGAATAAATTTTCTCAAGCCCTTGTGCTCGGGGTACTCAACTTGAAATTCCTTAGGTTACTTTGAGGAAAGTTTCTAATGATGCATTAATGACCCCCGCTCAAGTCATCCCTTGCAAAAATTAAAACCAAAACAACATTTACAGAATTATGTTTAACATTAAAAGAACAATAAACAAAATTTAATAATATCAAATTCTGTAAATTTTTCTTTTATATCTCTTGAACTGAAAAAAAACTTTTAAATGTTTATCTTCACATTAAGGTACGACTGAGACAACGCATCATGAGGCGATTTAGAAAAGCGAAAGGGCAAAACCAATTAAACACTGCGTCGGTGTGCGTTCTGCTATCTGTTGCCTAAAAATTAGTCCGACGCATTTATATTAAAACACCTAATGACATGCATTTTAATTTCACAATTAGATGTGAAATATAAGTGTAATATAGTATTATATGGCATGCAAAAATGAGTTTTAATACAATTCCTGATGAAATAATGATTTATTTCTCAACGATGAGAAAGGATTCCTATCAAATTGGTTATCATTAACTCATCTGCTTATTTGCATGGAAAACTAAGTGACTTAAACCTATATAAACCAAATGGAGGAATAACACTTAACACTTATATACGATAGTATATATTTGTATTTCAAATGAGTAATAATCAGTTTTTAACAACATATGACGACATAAACTTCAGTTATCATAAAAAATTGCATGTACTTTCTTTGAGGGCTGGAGATAATATGTGGTGAACCTCTTGTCGAGTTGTGACGATGGCTTTCATTTGTTGGTATGACACGGGCGAACTTAACAATATTAGGCCGCATTTTAGGGCTACCCCATTGGTTGGGTATCATCGGGCGACGGTAACATAATTTTCCGGGCGGATACTCATGCAGACGCGCGATTTCTATTGGTTAAAATCAATCGCGGGAATAAAAAACATTCGCGCAGAAAACATGAATTATTCGCGCAATTGTTCGCACGGTTCTGGCGGCGATACCGCGTCATACTTATTGATTGACAGATCGCGTGGACACGACGTGTGACTTCAGGCTGATTGACCAATCAAAACGTTATCAGGTTGAACTGCATAAAGAAAGCAAACTTTCCGTCTACGACTTGAAATTCAATGATCTGATCGAGTGTTTCTTTAGATTCATCCTGGCAAATGCAATATAATGATTTATGGTGATAGACATCATGCAGTGGAACCAGTGTTTAAATTGGTAATAGAAATGTTCAGAAACAAATACATGTAGGAATACCTTACTCACTTCAAGAGCCATGTTATATGTTGAAACTTATGGCTCTCGAACGGGGAAATGGACAGCTGAATAAAAGTGACCTTTGAAACACGAATTAAGTCGATCAGCGGCTTACTTTTGTTCTCTAACTATGTCATACATCATTATCATCCTTCCGTGCAAGTATTGGAGGGCTGAAGTACTTCCTTTTCGATCAAGACTTGTAATTGTTAGTCGAGTGAATGTTTTTCTGCCAAATTCCAAAATGGCGTTTTCTGCTCGGACATTTTCGTAAATCTCCGGAGGTTGTCCGAACCTAACTCAAAATTCATTTCGTTCGTTGCGTATCTCCACGAGGGGAAAGTGTACCCGTGTATATACAACCTACCGCCGAGCAAAGACCCGAAGAAAATGTAATGAAAATGTAGGGGATAAGTTAATAAACTCCTGTTTTATATTGAATTTCTCAACATGAGAAATAGATAAAATACAGAATTGTTTGTAACCGATATAATTGTTGTTCCAGGCACTCATGTTTAGAGAATAATGAGTACTTAATGCAATATTTACTATCAAATCGCTAAATTCAACTTCTAAATATTAGAATGATGTTCTACATCTTAAATAAGTAAGAACCATGTCTGTTTTTACTCCATTTGCTTCAAAGATACAATGGGTGCAAATATATTACATTTGTTTCAAAGCCATACGTTGCATATCATTAAAATCACAGTTGAAAGTTGAAAATGAAAGACCCGATTATACCACGAGTACGATTCAATAGGACCTGATGCTACCGCCTGAGTATTCCGATTATACCGTGAGTAAAACACGATGAGGTAGTGAGTAAGCTTTCGAATGATCATATAATAACATGAAGTATATCACAAATAATTCTTGTTAATATGATATAATTCCCGCAGCACTATACGTCAACATCTGTGTCCCGCGAAGTTCTTTAAAACATTGAATTCATGCTTTCACTCGAATCACCATAATTTTCATTGTTGATGATATCACCACTTCTATCTGACTATGCTCATAATCTAATGAGTTTGGTACGTGTTATTTTGTATCTACCAAGACGGTAAACATATGAAAAATAGTTATATATTTTGATTGGTCTAAAATGTGCAAAGTTTACCCGTTATGCTCATTCGATCTCAATGTTGAATAAAATAAGATATCAGTAGAAAGGCTACTAAAATGAAAAAAAGATTGACCAGTAGAGATTAGGAACGTGACCCATATTCATTTTTATCTATAAATATGGATAATAATTGATTTAAATGCAATTCATTCGCTCTCAAGTTTGACTAAAATATCAGTACAACGGCTCCTAAAATGAAGAAAGATCATATTCATAATTGATTTAAACGCAATTCCGCGCTTTTCCTATCCTCCAATGTTGATAGCCTAATTTCTGTTGTGTCAGTCTGGGTAAAAATGTTACAATAGTATTAATAACGAGTAACCCTTCCAATAAAGGCAATTAAATCAAGGTTCGAAAACTCCCAAAAGTAACACTAACACTATTTCATCATCAGCATGTCATAGACTCGACGATATAATCGGATCTCAACAGATTTTACTCAAGTAATGTTCGGATTCTGAGATCATTTACTCAAGATAATTTCGGATCTTTATAATATTACTCGTCGATCACATCGGGTCCGATGTCCGATAACATCGGATCTTTTACGACAAAGTTTATGTGAAGATTTTGCTGTTCAAAAGTGCTATTTTGACCTAATATTTTGACACTTAATATATTATGCATATCACATACATTTACCGGCCCAAGTATGTCTTATGTATGGCTCATTATCAATTAAAGCGAGTATAAATGAGAAAAACAAATCGAAAACCATTATACGTTTAACTTAATCTTAATTTGAACATAAAAAATATATTTCAACTATAATTCTAGGCCAATTCCGCCTGCTAAAACATCTTAGTAACGATTCTAACCATCCAAGGGAATTGATAGAGGTCCAATATTACCTTTATTGTCCATTTTCCTATGAGATGTAGTTAACCAAACATTTGATAGGCGGTATATGCTTGTTTTGCTCGGCGGTAGGTTGTATATACACGGGTACACTTTCCCCTCGTGATCTCACTCCTAGCAAACATCCATATTGGAAATGGGTCGAAAAAACATTGGGTCGGTAAAGCACGTGGCTTTCTCTTGGGTACAAGGCGGTCATAATAGAAATCAAGATAAGTAAAAGAGACCAGCTTGGGCAAGGCTACCTGCTAATGAATCAAAAATGTACCCATTGTTATTAGGACACCGATAAATAGGAACAGTAGACCGTGGGAACATTTATGTCGGTCCTTAAAGGAACAAAATGCGTAAATGAAGTCTCACTTTTGATCTTCATAGTATTTCCAATGGATTAATAAGTACCTGATCTTTCATTTGACACCAAAAACAGCTCAAACAGACGACATCAGAGTTGACACTAGATCATGAAAAATATTTTCGATCTATCAATTTATATATGTCAAATTTTTAGCAATGCCATTGAAAGATGGCATTGTTTGCATTAATTATCCATTTATTTTTGATAGGATTTTCAACCATACGCCATCTTTTAATCCAAGAGTGTTTTAAAACATACGCTTTGTGAATTCACTTCTTTTGATCTCTGAACTTCATATGCTGTGTTCTATGCGAGTAATTTTTTCACTTCAGTATTGACCAAAATTAAAGTTTTATCATATTTGATTGACTGTGTGAGTAACATGTCTCAAATAATATTTTGTCCCTTTTCCTTCAAAAATAGGCGCATTGCCTGTTTAATAAAAAGGTGTGACCAATTACATATTTCTTTTAACACTTCAGGCCTTGTCGATGTCACTTAATTCTCGAATATTTTTAATTTCTTGTTTGGAGTCATCATCAAATTCACCATTAGTAAAATGATTTAGTGTAGTCAACATTCGTTCTCCTTTTTGTCTCTTCAATTGTATCATTCTTTTCAAAGCTTCGCGTCTTCTCGTTTCCATTTCTTTCCGCCATCGTTGATTCTCTGCCCACATCAAATCCATTTCGTATTTTTTCGCAGCCATTTGAGTCTCAAATTCTTCATTGTCAATTCCAGGTAAATGCGATTCCGCATCACTAATCCCATTATTGTCCTCTGGTAATACTATTTTCATTTTCTTTGCCTTTTCATTTTTCTTTTTTTTCTTTTCTGGTTTATATTTGTCGATCGTCTGTTCCATCTGTTTTGTACCCTCTGTAACCCCCGTGTTTATTTCCTTTAACATGTCCTCCATTGAGCCGAGGAAGCTGTGGTTCTTGTCCATTGTTTCCAATGACATCATCGTATTTTGGGGAACGAGTATCGGTTGGTCCGCTGTATATGAACAATCAGTTTGAGGGACGTTCATCCTAAATAATACAACGAAGCACTAAATGTAACTATTTGAACAATCGAGATATTAATCTAAGCTATTATGTATATTGTTATCATCAGATACATGGCCACGAATGACGTATATCAGTGGCTCTAGTCATGACATCGTAAGTGAATGGTCAAGAATAGAATAAACTCTGTTAATTAACAAATAAACAAAAACTTACTCAGGGTCCAACATTTTGGCACCTCTTTAGTTCCTCACAACCAAATAAATGTTCGTAATCCTGCATTTTGCTCCGAATATGACCACTGGGTGTGATATGTACACTTATAAAATAAGTCAACTTTACAAGAGCAACTAATTATATAGACTTTCCGGTTTACAATTGGCTTCGTTTCACAATATAACCTCAACAAATTGTCCCTGTATAAAAAATCTCAACGTCTAATTCACCCTCATCCAAGTTGTAAATAACCTTGTCAATAAACTTATGCTTTTAACAAATAGTTTAAATGTACATTGGTGTAAAGTTTGCCTTTCAAGGCGCTTTGTAATACGATGAAGTAGTTAAATATTGGTTGCTACGGGATGTATAAGTGCTATGTAAAGATTGTGTTTGCTCGATTTATAATTTCAAAACATTATTCTATGTGGGATCAAAATAAAAGATTTTATTTCGGTCTTTAGTTAACAAACAGAAAACAACTAAATGCATTGCTAATTACGGTTATGTCTTGTTACAAATATTAAAAAACCATTCATATACAGATTGCATTTCATAACCAGTCCTCCTACTTCTAAAATTCTAGATGTTTGTTATTCGGTCCTTTAACCTGAGAGGTTAAAACATGTGTGATGAAATCTAGTTACCTCTCTTCGTAGGCTTTAACAAATATCTTGAAATATTAAAACCTATGGATTTAATTCGTTACGTTTCTTCAAACAATTTCTAAAAAACACCACTGGCCCATGTTTTACATCAGGACGGTATTTAAAATCCTGCACGATTCACATGTTGAACGGTCATTAACGTTGGCAGCCCCGCCATATCCGACAGTTTACGCTAGTATATTTCAGACATGTAAAATATCAATGTCAAAGAAGGCATTAGCCAAACCGTGGAACTCTGCCACAAAACTGGTCAAAATTGCATTTGTAAAATCTACATGTTTTATTCTTTAAAAGTGATTTGCCCTGGTAACATAAATTCCTGACACCGGTGTAAAAGTAATAGTATTCACCGGAAGCACGGCCCAGTCTTACACTGCTTCAAAGGCAAGCAGTTGAACTAAAAATAAGAAATCTAAAGACTATTGTGCAATAATATACTCCTCAAAAAAGTTAAGGACCAGTGGTTTTCCTCATAGCTTTACATGTCAACCCCCATATTTGCTTGAACGACTATTTTCTAAAAATAGGTTTACGTTGGAATGTCGATTTTCAAAATGCATCAAATTAATCTGTCGAAAAGTTCCGACCTATTATAATTGTTGAAAAGGTTGAGAAATATAGGTACAGAAATGGTCTGTTGTCATCTTCAGAAGATAATAGAATCGTCGACCTAAAACCTCACTATTGTTACCGGTTAAAAGCGCAGATCTTAACCGTTTTTGAAGTTCCGTTTCAGCATGGGCTTTCAACTAGAACTTGAAAGCCCATGGTTTCAGTAACAAAAGTGAGGTATTAATCGAATAAATTTTCTTAGACAAATGATACTGACACACGTTTGTGATAACAATGTCGTTGTAATTCAGCCTACAACACGTGAAATAAGGAAAAAAGAAAAATCTTACCTTCGAGAGATTTTGTAACAGAAAAGAACCGTTTCAGTAACCAGCGTAATCGAGTGGATCACCATGAGTGATGCGTTTTCCCAATATTTACCAGCAGATTTAGTACTAATTATGACTTGTACGGATCAGATCATATTGTTATATATATCTTTTATTGACTCTTTAGATGTCATGACCTGTCATATTAGTCATTACAAAATGAAATTTTACAAAACTACACGACCACTACACTAATATATACAATTTATACAAAAAACTTGTTATTTACATATGTTATAATATACTTTAGGTGTGATGCATCCAAAATGTTAATCTCCAGGCAAGTTTAAGTTTTTGAATGATTTTGTAATAAAACTTCCAACTTGCTTTTGCACATATTTATCTTTTGAAGAAATTAACATAATGAATGTATTTACGTTGATCAACATTAATTTTGCTAGTGATGTTGTCAAACAATATTTTTCTATTTTCTCTATGTGTTTGGCATTTAATCATGAAATGAACCTCATTTTCTATTTCCCCACAAAAGTTACATAATCTTTCATATTCAGGTTTTGGCCGTGGTTTTACATGTCTACCCAGTTCTATTTGTAATTTATGTGAACTTAAAGACATGTTAAGCAGATAAGTAGGTCAGTATTACATAATCATGAAATGAATAAGTCTGAAAATACAATTGGTCAGAATGTACTAAAACCTGCTTGAAACTGAAAAACATTGCATGCTCTATTCCAAACAATTTGGAAGCTTTTGAAATTCGCAGTAACAATGAATAAGCAGCCTGTATATAATCATTGCATAGAAAACACTTCATGTAGTGTTTATCAGATGTATTGAGTTGACCAAAATACTCCTTTGTTTACTACATACTGGACTACATACTTGCACCCTTACATATATGTGTACATATTGTAGAATTAGCCCATAAGAGCTTTGCAAAATCAACATCTTATACTATCAACGTAATAGACGGCTTGCCCAACCTTACAGCCAAACTATTATATACAAACAAGATAAGACTGATATTGTCACATTGAATTATGATAATATAGTGCTGTCCCCAGCTCCGATTTCGGTGATCGGCTAGTATAAAAGGTTTGAGGGTATCATTTTGTTCCAGACACTCGCTAGAGTAAATTATCCTAACTTGAGTAAAAACGTGTGGTAAGTAAATTCGCTATGGGCAGTTGAAGAGGCGCCATCTATTCATTTTCAAACAGGGGGTAGGGGTATGAAATAATTTTTAACACATTTTAATAGTAAAATTACATTGTAATACTAATAAAATCTTATCAAAAACATTATTTACAATCAGTATGAATTTTCTTATGTGGATTAGGGTGAAAATAAGGGCATATCTTGAAATTCACTACAGGGGCGCCACCTATTTTCGTACTTCTACCACGTGTAATAACTTATTTTAGATTCGTTAAGGTACGAAATGTACTGAAAAAAATCATTCTAAAGGACCTATATGTTCATACCACATACTTAAAATTGGATCAATAGCTTCTGTACCGGGGGAGAAAAAAATTATTGAAATTTAAAATTGTGGCATCATGCAGGATAGGGGTGACCATATCTCACATGATTAACTTCCAAAATATGGAGCATATGTATCTCAAATGTACTCAAAATGGTGTATGTACTCTTGCTTTGTCATAATATTACTGATAAGAAGTAGAAAAATGATTGTACAATTTCAAAAAATATTAATTCTCATTTTGGCTTCTGACGTCCCAGGGGTGACCATATCTCACCTTGATAACTTCCAAAATATGGAGCATATGTATCTCAAATGTGCTCATAATGGTGTATGCACTCTTGCTTTGTCATAATATTACTTATAAGAAGTAAAAAAAATGATTGTACATTTAAAAAAATATTAATTCTCATTTTGGCTTCTGACGTTTCAGGGGTGACCATATCTCACCTTAATAACTTCCAAAATATTGAGCATTTGTATCTAAAATATGCACAAACTGGTGTATATAGTCTTGTTTTGTCATTATATTACTAATAAGATGTAGGAAGATGATTGCTCATTTTAAAAAATATTAATTCTCATTTTGGCTTCTGACGTCCCAGGGGTGACCATATCTCACCTTAATAACTTCCAAGATATGGAGCATATGTATCTCAAATGTACTCAAAATGGTGTATGTACTCTTGCTTTGTCATAATATTATACTAATAAGAAGTAGGAAAATGATTATACATTTAATAAATTTTAATTTTAGCTTCTGACGTCCCTGAATAACTTCTAAAATTATGTAACATATACAACTCAAATATACCAAAAATGGAGCATATAGCTAGTCTTGCTTTGTCATAATGCTATTCATGAGATGTAAAAAAATTATTACACCTTTTTTAATTGAAATTTTCATTTTAGCTTCTGAATCTGACATCCCAGGGGCAATTATATCTCACTTTGATATAACTCTCACGATATGCAACATATGCATCTCAAATGCGTGCCCAAAATGGTATAAATATAGTCTTGTTTTGTCATATTTATTGGATTCATGAAATCAGAAGTTCAGAATTTATGGATTTGACTGTCTCCCCTGAAGGATGCAGCTACATATAGCCCAGAGACAATAAGATCTACTTTCAAATATTTGCATCTTCTCCCCAAACACGCCTTATATTACAGGAACAATGGACGATAAGTCTTTTGCATGCCTTGGATGCAACATCTTTTGTATACTGGTAGCCTATCAGTAGTGTGAGTAGCCTAGCCTCATTTACAAAAGTTGGCCCCTTAAGCCCAAATCTGACCCGAAATTTTGAAAACATCCTGGAAAATTAGGCCTAAAAGGCGCATTTATGCCCAAACATACACCAAACTGTCCCACTGCTAAATTACAAGGGCGATAAGTCACTTCTAATCCTGATTGACATTCTCTAGTTTGCATGGTTTGTCATGATGTGCTATATTGTTATTGCCCAATCTCAACAATTGTATTCACTGTATGGCCTACCGTGCCAAGAATAATGCAATTGTTCAGCTAATCTCTTCTTTGGGGGGACACTAGAAGTGTGGGACATCACAATCATAGATTAATATTTCATTACAATCAATGTATGTTGTATGACAAACATGCAAACTAGAGAATGTTAATGTGGCTAGAAAGATTTATCATTACAAAGAGCTCCTTTTCCCATATTTTACATACTCAAAATCCCTTAATTCAGTGTATAATCCAAGGTGCATATATTGCAGGCCACAGGATAACATATTAACACCTTACATTAGCAGTTGCCATTACTTCATAAATGGAGTAAAGTACTCCCACTATTGTCAGGTTAAAAGGATTCCTGTATGGATTACAAAAGATGTTGGGTCCAAGGTATGCAAGGGAATAATCTCATCCATTGTACTTGTAAAGGGTGTTTTGGGAGCAGATGCAAATATTTGAAAGCAGATATTATTTGCCCTGAATTATATGTAGCTGTAGAGGAGACAGTCAAAATCCATTGATTCTGAACTGTTGATTTCATGATTCTCAATAAATATGACAAAACAAGACCATTTTGAGCACACATTTGAGATGCATATGTTGCATATTGTGAGAGTTATCAAGGTGAGATAGCCCCTGGGACACCAGAGGCTAAAATTAAAATTTTAAAAAAATGCAATCATTTTTCTACATTTCATTAGTAATATGAAAAAGACAGGACTTTTCTGAGAATATTTTAGGATTATATGTTACGTATCTTAGAAGTTATTATTATTATTATATGGTGCGATATGATTACACAAAGCAAGGGTGCATACACCTTTTTGAGTACATTTGAGATACATATGCTCCATATTTTGGAAGTTATTAAGGTGAGATATGGTCGACCCTGGGATGTCAGAAGCCAAAATGAGAATCAATATTATTTTAAATGTACAATTATTTTTATACTTCTTATTAGTAATATTATGACAAAGCAAGAGTACATTCACCATTTTGAGAAAATGTGAGATATATGCTCTATATTTTGGAAGTTATTATATTAAGGTGAGATATGGTCACCCCTTGGACGTCAGAAGCCAAAATGAGAATTAATATTATTTTAAATGTACAATCATTTTTTTACTTCTTTTTAGTAATATTATGACAAAGCAAGAGTACATACACCATTTTGAGCACATTTGAGATACATATGCTCCATATTTTGGAAGTTATTAAGGTGAGATATGGTCGACCCTGGGATGTCAGAAGCCAAAATGAGAATCAATATTATTTTAAATGTACAATTATTTTTATACTTCTTATTAGTAATATTATGACAAAGCAAGAGTACATTCACCATTTTGAGAACATGTGAGATATATGCTCTATATTTTGGAAGTTATTATATTAAGGTGAGATATGGTCACCCCTTGGACGTCAGAAGCCAAAATGAGAATTAATATTATTTTAAATGTACAATCATTTTTTTACTTCTTTTTAGTAATATTATGACAAAGCAAGAGTACATACACCATTTTGAGCACATTTGAGATACATATGCTCCATATTTTGGAAGTTATTAAGGTGAGATATGGTCACCCCTAGGACGTCAGAAGCCAAAATGAGAATCAATATTTTTAAAAATGTACAATCATTTTTCTACTTCTTATTAGTAATATTATGACAAATCAAGAGTTCATACACCATTTTGAGTACATTTGAGATACATATGCTCCATATTTTGGAAGTTATTAAGGTGAGATATGGTCATGCCTGGGACGTCAGAAGCCAGAATGAGAATCAATATTTTTTAAAATGTACAATCATTTTTCTACTTCTTATTAGTAATATTATGACAAAGCAAGAGTACATACACCATTTTGAGTACATTTGAGATACATATGCTCCATATTTTGGAAGTTATTAAGGTGAGATATGGTCACCCCTGGGACGTCAGAAGCCAAAATGAGAATTAATATTTTTTAAAATGTACAATCATTTTTCTACTTCTTATTAGTAATATTATGACAAAGCAAGAGTACATACACCATTTTGAGTACATTTGAGATACATATGCTCCATATTTTGGAAGTTAATAATGTGAGATATGGTCACCCCTATCCTGCATGATGCCACAATTTTAAATTTCAATAATTTTTTTCTCCGCCAGTACAAAAGCTATTGATCCAATTTTAAGTATGTGATATGAACATATATAGGTCCTTCAGAATGAATTTTTTCAGTACATTTCGTACCTTAACGAATCTAAAATAAGTTATTAAACGTGGTAGAAGTATGAAAATAGGTGGCGCCCCTGTAGTGAATTTCAAGATATGCCCTTATTTTCACCCTAATCCACACAAGAAAATTCATACTGATTGTAAATAATGTTTTTGATAAGATTTTATTAGTATTTCAATGTCATTTTACTATTAAAATGTGTTAAAAATTATTTTATACCCCTACCCCCTGTTTGAAAATGAATAGATGGCGCCTCTTTAACTGCCCATAGCGAATTTACTTACCACACATTTTTACTCAAGTTAGGATAATTTACTCTAAAGAGTGTCTGGAACAAAATGATACCCTCAAACCTTTTATACTAGCCGATCACCGAAATCGGAGCTGGGGACAGCATCAATAAGTAAATAACATTTTGTAATATTTTGCACGGGTATAACTATGCACAGTAGAATAATACACAGGGTTACCCTAAATTGTAGAAACATATTCATGTTTCTAACTTATAATTAATTAATTCATATATCCAAAGGATTTCACCTGTTCCATTCCTGACCAAACCTTGTTTTATTTTTTATTTTTACAATAACATAAACTACTCTATCATTTTTATTTCCATAATTGACATGAGAACTCAAATGATCAATGGGAAAACAATGCTAAACTTGCACACTGAAATGGGTATTCCAGCAGGCCTAGGAAAATATGGCTAGAAAAAGATGATACACCTAAGGGCTACGTGGATAAACTATTCCCCCTGAAAAGTTTTTTAAGGGTCAGATCACTAAATTCATGATTGCATGGAAAAGCTTTGAATGCTAATTTTCAAGAATGGATGTATTACAAAAGAAAATATGAGTGATTATTTAGTGTCAAGTTTTGTCTCTAGTGACAGCATGCTACTGAATATCTCATCAAGTGACCTAAACTTCAGCAGCTAAAATAAGCATACCGAAATATTATAATTTAGTATGATTCAGAGAAAGGGATTATACAGAGATTAGCAATTTATCTATTATCTTACAATTTAGCTCAATTCTTGAATTTGAAGATCTACTGCTATATTGTTTAATATGCATTATAACAGATAGATTCGATGGTAAGATCTAGTATGTGATATGATTGATTTTACCTTTTTGTCATCATTGCTAAGGAATATAATAATACCATTCCAATTAATGATAACTCACTTATTGTATTACTTCCGCTTGATACACATGCTGGAAGATATGCTTTTAAAATTAGTATACCATTACCAAAACTATGGTTACCCTGGAGTAGTGAAAGGCACATTAAAATGAATATCACCCCCTTCAATCTATTTTTACAGGTTTTTATGATTATTTCACGTTTTCTATATTTTGCGTAACCAGCAGGACGGTGAATTTTCTTCATTTTTCTTCAAACATTTCGTCTTACCAATATTTATTATATCTGTCAATTTCAAGAAAATCGCGCCGCTACGTGTGAAAATAATCCAAATTATGTCATTTTTCCCATTGAGCTCCATTATAAAAATGGAATTTTCAAACTTAATATTTTAAAATTCTACGTGGTGAAATGTTGCATATTGAGTAGTTAGTTAATGTTATGGTGTAAAAAATTCAAAACAAAAAGGAATAAAGAAAAAATGCCACGGAGTCTCATTAACATCTCTTTAATCTCAGTTGTGAAATTGATTGCCTGTGATTTTTGTTTTGAAGGCTTAAATATTGTTCTCTTTCAAAAGTTGTTTTGAATTTAATGTATGTTCTTAAAACTGGGTATAATTGTTAATCACACTTCCAATTTTGGTGCAATGTTTTAGTTAAGTTCTTTTTGAATACATAGTCATCCTCAACAACTTGTTTATTCCAAGTGCTTTGGAGATTACAATCTTTTAAAATATTATGAACCTTACTTGACCAAGTATTTTTAAATCCTAAACTGTACATTCCATAGTCATATAGATATGCTTTATAAAGGAGGTTATCTGGACAAAGTTGTATAAGCCGTATTTGATAAGATGAATATCAAAGCACAAACTAAGGGGGAAACGACCCAGGTCTCCATAGACTGCTAGGGTTGCAGTCGATGTTTTCACACCAAGAATGCTTTTTAAAAAGGACAGGTGAATAGTTTCAAGCATCCTCCGATCACCGGGCTTCAAAATCCAGAATATATTCTTTCTTTTTACCCCCTGCGATAAGCAGTTAGCATTTCCCCGATTAAGAACTCGCAATCTGATTGGCTGTCGCAACACTGCGACAAAAATCATGTATAAGTCATTGCGCATAATTAGATCACGTGATTCAGTTTAATCGGGCGCTTCCAAATTGGTTATAGTAGGGGGAAGAAGGAGGTACATGTACGGATTCTGGATACCTGCTTAGGAGGATGAGTTTCAAGTGACTTGATATGTTTTTACTTGACCATATTTCTGAACCATACATCAAAATTGGTTGGACAAGTGAATCAAATAAATGTAAGGCAACTGATATGGGAATGTCATTAAACTTGTGATATTGTTGCTTTATTTTGAATAAATCTTTTCTAGATTGTTCTTTAAGATAGCATATTTGTTTATCAAAATTATTTTTACTGTTGAAGATACACCGTAGGTATTTGTAGTCTTCTACACATGCAATCACTTCATCATTGAATTTAAGTTTCATCTGATTTAGAGTTAAAAATAATAGCCTTTTTCATCGAGTGAAAGTTTTTTAGACCTATTTCCAATATGGCGGTTTGCTAGGAGCGAGATACGCAACGAACGAAATGAATTTTGAGAATTAGTTAGGTTCGGACAACCTCCGGAGATTTACGAAAATGTCCGAGCAGAAAACACCATATTGGAATTTGGCAGTAAAACGATTCACTCGACTAACAATTACAAGTCTTGATCGAAAAAGAAAGTACTTCAGCGCTCCAATACTTACACAGATTGATGATACTGATGTAAGACACAGTTAGAGACCAAAAGTAAGCCGCGGATCGACTTAATTCGATTTCAAAGGTCACTATTGATCAGCTGTTCACTTCCCCATTTGAAGGCCTAAGTTTTAAAATCTAACATGGCTCTCGAAGTGAGTAAGGTTTAACCAGGTTTCACATAGTAATACAATTGAGTACTTGCTAAAAAGCTCTTTAATGTCATACCAATTATGTAATTTATCTGATAAACGATTAATGTTCCACAAAAGACATTTTAAGTCAGTTGAATTTTGATTTTTGTGGAATAATGAAACGTCATCAGACGCTAAGAGCTTACTAGATTCATGTATTGAATCACTCACACGCTTACCAAACTCATTGTTAGTTCATTGAACAAATTTCGGATTAGTGTTAATTATCTAATACAAATTGAATATACTAGTATGCAGTTCTCTTAAACCCCGTATCTTTCTGCAGCTTACTTTTATGAGACTAACATGGAAATTTTATCCCCTAACCTGGATAAAAGTTGCAAACCCGGAAAAATCATCAGAAAAACAAAAAAAATGACAAAACCCGGAAAAAGGACGGTGAATTCAATGTTCGAATTCTGCCGCTTTTGTAGAGTATCTCTCTTTTTTGAACCCGATCATTTTCCTAGTTTTTTCCAGTATTGCCTTTTCGGACATCCTTCTCTCGGGAATAGGATTATGCTTCATAGCAAGTTTGGACGACGATGCTGTATAGATTCTACTTTCTATAGACACCACATACATATGCTGAAACCGTTTAAATCTTTCAAACTTCTATCGTCAAAGATGTATTTGGTGTCTATAGAAACTACAATCTATTCCCTTGAGCATGCGCTAAGCCAAATAAAGTGGTTTAAACTTTATACATGTATGGGGGCTTTAACACAAAACTCCATCTTATCACCTACGGTAAAGTGGTTAGGATACGTAGTTTCATGGGTGTTTGACTTTGGTATCGATCGAACTCGTTTCCAGTTTTTGTTTTTCTATTACCATATTCTGCAGGCTTTGTATAAAAAACCTCCTACCCACGTACCCTCGTACCCACGTACGTGGGTCCTGACCCAGTCTTTAAAGAGTTAAATCTTTAACATTTTTTAAACATTATTCTATCTCAATGTATGCTTAATTATGGATGAATTTATGTACCCATATGCCTTTATTTCTAGATCGGACATCTGTCTCGTCATAAAATAAAGCCGGCATTGCATAATGTTCATTTGAGCTATTTGAGTGTTGTTTTTGATATATCGAAGCGATTTTTTGTTGATCGGGCAGTCTTACAGTGTACAACCAATCTATTGCTTGGCGCAAATTGGCCACATGGGGCATGTGTTGTAAAGTGCTGTAGTTTTTGACTCCATGAGCAGAATATGGTCAAACTTTCACAAGAAAATTCACATTGAATGACCTGAATGATTCTGGATTGACGAAGTTATTCAACTTTTCATCGGTCCTGTTTTTTAACACCCTGTAGTTTCGATTTTTATCACATATACTTTTTATTCTTTCAAACGATATTACAAGTATTCATTGTTTGCACGACAGATTTGAACTATACGTGTAATTTGTCTTATGTCTTTTATTTAATTTAACATCAGAATTGGAGATACAAAGTGATAGAGTGATCAATTCACACGATCTCAAGGAATAATAAAGGCTGCATTTCTGTTTAACCGTGGCGCAATTAAATAACGAAATATTTGAAAAGTAGAAGGATTCGCTATATTCGTTTTTTATCGCTTTTTGGCACAATTTAAGGATAATTGTGCGCACTAGTTCAGTGAATCATTTAGATGGAATTAAAAGTTAGAGTTGCCAAACTTATGCAGGGGAGTGTAAGTTTGGTTTTGTAAACTTCGACATTATTCATGGCCGTTTGATCCATAATTAGGTAATATGAAGAGTAGAGTTTTATTTTGACAATGATTTGATGTAAAACTGGTTTGAATGATAAAAGTTCAGCTTTGTAGTTTCTAGCTTTTTGCGCGTAAAACGTGAATACAATGGACAACAACGACACCAAATCTTTGACTAACATACGTTAATAACGTATAATATTCGTAAGAATGAATTCTAATAACATTTGAAATAAACATCTAATAAAATGTGGTGAATTTAATTGGTTGGAAACTCTAAGAAATATATTTTTAAAAAGATGTCAACTTTTGGACAAGGGTAAACTTCCCGGGACATTTACAATCTGCATGAGGTAACAGGAGGCACGGATTGCACTGAACGAAGGCTAGGAGATTGCTAATCAGCACTGATGTGTTAAACAGGTAAGACTGCCCGATCAACAAAAAACATTTCGACATATCAAAAACATAAATCAAATAGCTCAAAAATAATGAACATTTATGCAATTCCGGCTTTATTTTATTTTACTAGAGAGATGTCAGACCTATAAATAAAGGCATATGGATGCATAAATTCATCTATAATTCAGGATAAACTGAGATTGAATAATGTTTTAAACATTTAAAGATTTAACTCTTTAAAGACTGGGTCAGGACCCACGTACGTGGGTACGAGGGTACGTGGGTAGGAGGTTTTTTATACAAAGCCTATTCTGCATCAAATAGTACAATTTTATGAAAAACGTTTCATTGGGAAAATAACGTGGGGACATATTATTTCCACTTTCTAGCTTTCATACATCAAAAAAGTCTGTAATACTATACAAGTAAAATTATTAAATTCACATCAAGTTAGAATTATACTAGCCCATCAATGACAGGAAAAACATATCCGATACTTTTCAAATCAGATATCCATGCTTCTACTAAGTATGCATCCTTGTATGTCCAAAAATGTGATTTTACTAAATCATGGGAGAGTTCTATGACACAATCTGTAAACTCTGTACCATGGCATTTCCATGTTGATAGATATTCCAAAAGTTTTCCACTTTTCACATAGAGATCATTCTCCTGAATAAAATCGTCTAAATATGAATGTTTGTTCCTTGTCTGGTTTACGCTTGTAAATAAGATTGCTAACTTCTGATCGGTCAGTTTCATCAAAGTTTGAGACCAATAGGATCGCCATATATCAGTTACCCTCATTGTCACCCCGACAGGTAAAATCAAAGCCCAGAAGGACGATCTTTCAAAGACTGTATTCTGAGAATTAAATAACCCATAAATGGTATTATCTAGGACGATTGGTAAGTTTTGCTGTAAATCTACATTTTTATGATCTGGTTTTGTAAGTCTGTATATTGCATCTACGTCTGGGTCAGCATTCACTAAACCATGATGAATTACGACTGAGTCATCAAATTTATATTCTTCAAGCTTAAAATGTTTCAGCAGGTCTTTCTTGGTTTGTTGGCCACTAATCAATTCGAGGGGGAATCCCCTGGGCCATATGTTATCTTTGCCAAAATATGGATAAGGATTGACAATACTTAAAGTTCCTGCTGGTTTTACTAGAAACCCGGAATGTGTAGATAAAGAGTACATTGCATTATTGTCTTGTGGTTCTGGCATGTTATCATCATCTGTGTCATATATGTACTTGGCTCCATGCTGAAATAAAAGAACTCAATAATCACAATTTTTATCACAAATGTAATTGGCTCCATGCTGAAATATAAGAACGTAACCATCACATTCTGTATCATACATGTAGATGTACTTCGCTCCATGTTGAAATATAAGAACGTAACAATCACAATCAGTATCATAGATGTACTATGCTTCATGTTGAAAAGTAAAAATACAACTAGAAAACAACAACTCATAGAGTAGCAAAACTGACCTAACAAAACATGTTTTGATAAATAGCAGCCATCTTGAAAATGTCTTCTTGAACAGAGCTACTTTGTCCCTAGGTATCAGCGTATACAATTTGAACCGAATCCGTCCACTGGTATGTGAGTTATCAGAGATCATGTTTTTAAGAAAATAGCAGCAATTTTGAAATTATGCTGCCATCTTGAAAAATTATTCTTGAGCAAAGATCCTCTGTAGCATTGGCATGATTGGGTTTCTCTTGAAAGCCATGTCTCTAGGCATCGGCATATAAAAGTTGAACCAAACCCGTCAACTGGTATTTGGGTTATCAAAGATTAAATTGTTAACGACAAATGGCAGCCATTTTAATAAATAGTGGCCATTTAAAAAATTCCTCTTGAGCAGAGCTCCTTTATCTTTAGGCATCAGCATATGAAGTTTGAACCAAATCCATCCACTGGTAATTGAGTTATCAAAGATTACGTTTTTTTTCAAAAAATGGCAGCTGTTTTGAGATTCAGCTGTCCTGGTGGCTCAATAGCTCAGTGGTTGAGCACTCGTCCAGCAAGCGAGGGGTCGTGGGGTTCGATCACCACTAGGGTGGACTGACTTTTTCACATCAGGCCTAAATAGCACAAAATTTCATTCTGTGTATTCATTAACTAATACTATTTCTTCTGAGGTGGAATGTGGCGTGTGACATCATGAATAGAATGATTGACAACCTGGAAAGACAGGTATCTCTATTGGGTCCAGGAAAATGGCTTTGTATAAAAAACCTCCTACCTCATACCCACCTAAACCCACGTACGTGGGACATGATACAGTCTTTGATGCATTTGTAAGGACCCTTGATAGCAAGTTGCTACTACATCCCAGCTGGGTTGGATTTCCCACTCGGGGCATCGAGTTTAGCACACTTTCTTTCAATTTCTTTAGGCTTTTGATAAAAAAACTCCTACCTCATACCCACCTACCCACCTCCGTGGAACATGATACAGTCATTGAAGGGTTCAATTTTAAAGAATATTAAATCTCAAAATAGCTCAAATTATTAACATTTCAACAATTCCTGCTTTATTTTATGACTAGACAGATCCATAAATAAAGGCATATGGATGCATTTTAATGTGTAATGACCCGAGGGCGCCCCAGGGGAATAAATAACTAACGATCGGGAGCACAGTTCTAACAAGCCAGATAAAGAAATTGAAAGAAAGATTTAATAAACTAAGATCTTTAAAATTGAACCCTTCAAAGACTGTATCATGTCCCACGTACGTATACAAAGCCATTTCTTTCTCTTCTCTTTATCACCAAACAACATGGATGACATACAAAGAAGAAATAACTAAAGATCCATGAAGAAAATCATGTTTTTGAAATATATTTAAGGCTTAATTTTTTTTTCAAATTTTTGAATTTCCCTCCAGGGTAATTTGAAGGGGGAAAAACAAGATGGCTGCCATTTGATGTAAGAAATATAAGAAAAAAATTGCTTCATTTTTAATTTCACAATGAGCACAGTTTTCCGGTTTAGGTTTTTTGATTGATTCTGACTCTTCATCACCAGGGTCATGTATAGAGATTATAAAATTGAAACCAAAATGTTGTGCTCAGTATGAATTTGACTGAAATATGTGTAACTTCACCAACACAATTGAAGTGTCAAAACTAGATGCTCAGTAACTTTGAGTGACCATAATCCCTTGATTACCCAGATAAACACCAATTCACTTATCCAGAAATACCATTCGATGTCTATACAAAGAAAGTAAGCAATGTTTTGGAGGATATGTTTCAAACTTTTTGTATAAATTATTCATTTTTTAATATTTGCCATTGATTTTTTTTCAATTCTGCCAAAGTGATATACATTGTCTTTGATGCCAATATTCTTCATCAATTGTGATCCAAATTGATTTTTTTGTAATCTCAGAGGAAGGATAAGATATTGCAGTTTAATAATATGTGTGATTGAGTTGGTTTTTCAGACATGACAATTTTCAATATTTTCTAAGTCAATCCTTTGAATCAAATCCCCAACAGGTACAGTATTTGAGTTATCACCAGGACACAAGGAAAACAAACGAACTGACGGATGGACAGTTTCTCTATACCCCCATCGAACAGACCCAAAAGTTCAAAATTCCAATATGGAATGAAGATTGGTATGAAAAAGGAATTATATACATAAAGGACAAATACAGAGACAATGGAGACCTTATGAATTTTAACCAAGTAAAACAAAAATATAATATAACTGAAAATAATTTCCTATACCTACATGGTAATACAAAGTATTCCACAAGAATTGAAGCGGAATATACAAGTTGAAAATCCACATTATCAAAATTTTTATGAGAGATAATAACATTGACATTAATTGGAAACAAGTGCACTTATTAACAAAAACAATAACAAACACCGTGCCATATTGGTTTTCCATTTATTGTGATGTGTGAGTTGTTCCATATTTTCTGATTTGCAACTTATTTTTGAAATTCACCTTTGACCATATTTTGAATGTCTCTTTCAATGAGTTTAATCGTAACATATTTTGAACTTTTGGGTCTAAATAATAAGTCTATGTCAATGCATTAGAAATGAGCATTTTTGCTTTAATTTGAAATTTTTTATCCAGAAAATTTACTAATACAGAATCTTTTTATTTCACTCAAATGTAGAATTCCATCTCAAACATGCATAATGTTTAATATGGATTTCCTATATAGACATAAACCTCTGAAACCATACATTTTCACTAAAACCACCCTAAAAAAACTGGGGAGAGAAGCAAAGTCACACAATTAATCATAGAATTAAGTGACACAAATATATTCTCTATCCAAATTAAAGTACATTAAATATAAACTCCTGTTTTATATGAAAAATCAACAAAAAATACATTATATGATGTAAACAAGAAAGTAAACATTGTTTTCAAATATATTCTGGTTGAAACTTCAAACAGAAAATGTTTAAACATTTTAATTATATACTGTTGTTGTTACACATGATTGATTTCTTAATTTTATCCCTTGGTGATAAAAGGGTTAATATCGTATTTTGCATTCAGTGAAAATTCAAATGGAGGTTAGATTCTTAAAGCTGACACTCTAAGCTTTCCGTGCAGAAGAGATGTAAAAAATCACTAATGAGTGCACTTGGAGGCTCTATTTTGCACAATAATATTACCTTTATTGCGTAAAGGTATCCAATGTTTTTCCTTGTATAGCTGTTGATCGGAATCATTGGAACAATGCAGTATGGCAGCTGTTTCTGGCTTCCCAAGTCTAAATAGATGGAACCTTGTAAACTAGAAATCATACAACACTGTCATTTAGTTTTTATGCTAGTTGCATTATTGAAGGCTCTAGTAGGTATTTTTATACTCTCTAAGAAACTATGCAAGGAAAAAAATGTGTATGACAATTAATTTAAGATGAATAATCTGTTTCCATGGCAACATATTCAGTGTCATGCTCACTGAAACTGCCAAAAATATGTTAAAAGTTTACACTTATTTGCTGCCATGGTAACAGATATTGGAACTATTAACATGTTTCTTATGTTCACAGTAAAAATTTGACTTGAAAGTTGTGTCACCACTTTTGGTGGTGGTGACATAATAATAGTTGGAATTCAAAACATGTACTGTACTTCCAATTTATCTATTCACAAACTACAAATAATATTGAATTGTTGAATTTTCCACTGAAGATTTTTTTGATAGAATAAACATTTAAAGAATTTTGATATTGTTCACATCATCACAACTATATCTGAATAAATAATCTATTTGTCTCCACCTACATTTTATGGCTCTTCCAATGTGCTACTGGAGTTTTCTCATCTTCTATGATGAGTAGCTGCCAGTTCTTTAGATGACTAAGGGCTTCAAGCTGGGGGGAAGGTGCGTATATTGTTGTCACTACTATCCAGTTATCTGTACTTGGGTGGGGGTTCCCCATGATGGTAGAATGAGATTCTAATGCTTCTGCCCTGCATTTCATTTTTGTCATTGTTTTGGAAACCTTGAACATAGCAAAGTTTAAAGTATAAGGAACACACAGAGTTCACATAATAGAAAAATGTATGTTACACACTGAAAGGAGAATTACAAGGATAAACATTTCTGGAGGTTTTCTAATACAGTGTACTGTATTTCTATGAAAATAACTTGATCCCCTAAAGGGGATATATTGATACCCTAAAGGGGCTATATCATTTTGACACTCGGTCGCTGCGCTCCCTCGGTCAATATTATATAACCCTTCGGTCAATAGCATATTGTCCCTCGGAATAAAACCCATATTCAATCTCTCTTAGTAAATAACATATATTTATTCCATAATACTACTGTTTTCCCTGGGAAATAAAATATTATTATCCCTCTTAAAATCATATACACTCGAAAAATCATATTGTCCCTGGAAAAAACCATGTGTACTCAAAAATCATATTGTCCCTATTTTTTCAAAAAAAAAATCAGTTTTTCCAATTTTTTCCAAAAAACTGATTTTTTCCAATTTTCAAAAAAAAAATTTTCATGTTTGAATCATTCTTTCAAAATTGTTAATTTTTTAAAAAAATGTTCATTTTTTTTAAAAATGTTCATTTTAAAAAAAATTCATTTTTAAAACAAATTATCATTTTTTCAAAAATTTTCATTTTTTCAATTTTTTTTAATATTACTTTTTCCGTGATTTCTCAAAAATTAAATTATGGAATAAAAAAGTCATTTCATGGTTGATTTTCAATATGAATTTTATTCTGCGGGAAATATGACACTGACCTCGGTAAATATTATATTGACACTCACTCGCTACGCTCATTCGGTCAATATCATATTTCCCTTGGTCAATATCATATTACCCTGGAATGAAATGTCAATGATACACTGGCGTAGCAAGCAATTTATAGGGTGGGGAGGAGGCCCGGGGGAGGAGGCTCCTTTCTCCCTTCTATTTGCAATCAAGGTGTGTGTAATTCTAGACATCTCGATCCAGGAAATATCAGGAGGTTCTTGTTTTCATTTGATACACAGTGTAGATGTAATCCAATTGTAGACTAAGCCTTCTGGAGACATTTCAACTGTAAAAATATATTGATCAAAGAGTAAAACTAGATTTAGATTTTCAACTTAATCAATAATATCCTACATGATTTTTTTGCATTTAAACAATATTAAATATTGAAGTACCTGACCGAAGAACTGACCGATGCATGATATACCAAAAACCTGTTATACGAATGCGTGTTGTTCTGAAAACCATTGCTGTATACTGACACCATATTTTTGATGTAAAAAGGCTATTATGGAAGATGTACAGCATGACTAAAATCTATCTAGAGAAGTAAAACTAGTGTCAGACAAATTCTCAGATGTTTTTTACATGCCTAAAAGGGGATATGCCATTAAGAGGCCATTCTCTGACTTAGTCATTTTTTCAAAAGTGTGAAAATAAAAAACCTCATGAAAAGTTCTTAAAATATTCTGAATAACAAGTTGAATATATATTTAATGATGGCACAAGCGAAACTCTGAAAATTAACATGAAATGAGGGGTTTTGACAGATGCAAAAGATGGTAGATTTGTGATGAAGAAATAGAGGCTTTTGCAGCAACAACACAATTACCTCGAAGTTATCGGTTATGAGAGGCTGGGGACTAAACTTGACATAATTTTCAATCTCAGATTAACAGTAGTATCTGGACAGCCACAGCTGGACAGCCACTCAAAATATACATGGAGCCCATAAGATACATTTTTCTCAATTGAAGTCACTATTTCTGTTTTTAGCTTCAGAGGATAGGAGGTACATGAACATGCTAAGTTTACCTAGATCACAAGCCTTACCACAAATATAAGCTATTTGAGTGTTGTTGTTGATATATCGAAGCGATTTTTTGTTGATCGGGCAGTCTTACAGTGTACAACCAATCTATTGCTTGGCGCAAATTGGCCACATGGGGCATGTGTTGTAAAGTGCTGTAGTTTTTGACTCCATGAGCAGAATATGGTCAAACTTTCACAACAAAATTCACATTGAATGACCTGAATGATTCTGGATTGACGAAGTTATTCAACTTTTCATCGGTCCTGTTTTTTAACACCCTGTAGTTTCGATTTTTATCACATATACTTTTAATTCTTTCAAACGATATTACAAGTATTCATTGTTTGCACGACAGATTTGAACTATACGTGCAATTTGTCTTATGTCTTTTATTTAATGTAACATCAGAATTGGAGATACAAAGTGATAGAGTGATCAATTCACACGATCTCAAGGAATAATAAAGGCTGCATTTCTGTTTAACCGTGGCGCAATTAAATAACGAAATATTTGAAAAGTAGAAGGATTCGCTATATTCGTTTTTAATCGCTTTTTGGCACAATTTAAGGATAATTGTGCGCACTAGTTCAGTGAATCATTTAGATGGAATTAAAAGATAGAGTTGCCAAACTTATGCAGGGGAGTGTAAGTTTGGTTTTGTAAACTTCGACATTATTCATGGCCGTTTGATCCATAATTAGGTAATATGAAGAGTAGAGTTTTATTTTGACAATGATTTGATGTAAAACTGGTTTGAATGATAAAAGTTCAGCTTTGTAGTTTCTAGCTTTTTGCGCGTAAAATGTGAATACAATGGACAACAACGACACCAAATCTTTGACTAACATACGTTAATAACGTATAATATTCGTAAGAATGAATTCTAATAACATTTGAAATAAACATCTAATAAAACGTGGTGAATTTAATTGGTTGGAAACTCTAAGAAATATGTTTTTAAAAAGATGGACAAGGACAAGGGTAAACTTCCCGGGACATTTACAATCTGCATGAGGTAACAGGAGGCATGGATTGCACTGAACGAAGGCTAGGAGATTGCTAATCAGCACTGATGTGTTATACAGGTAAGACTGCCCGATCAACAAAAAACATTTCGACATATCAAAAACATAAATCAAATAGCTCAAAAATAATGAACATTTATGCAATTCCGGCTTTATTTTATTTTACTAGAGAGATGTCAGACCTATAAATAAAGGCATATGGATGCATAAATTCATCTATAATTCAGGATAAACTGAGATTGAATAATGTTTTAAACATTTAAAAATTTAACTCTTTAAAGACTGGGTCAGGACCCACGTACGTGGGTACGAGGGTACGTGGGTAGGAGGTTTTTTATACAAAGCCTGGAAAAAGTGATATCTGTGGAATACGGAAAATATTTCACAGATATCACCTTTGCTAGGGATTTGAAAACTACCACCAATATGATATGTTTTGTTTGTAGTGATTTCAAGACATCACGGGGATGAATGAATGAATGGATGATGTTTTGATATGTTTTGTTTAGTTTTATAGGTGAACTATGGGATAAATAGAACATCCTATGAATTTTCGTGATATCGTGTTAATCCACTCATTGATATCAATATCTGCGCCAATTCGCTACGCTAACTTGGCAAGATATTGATATCAACTTGGAGATAAAGATGAAATCATTTAAAAGTATATGATATCCTATACATATCCTTAACTGTGCCACAACTTTCTCATGTTATATTTTGGCACAGGCAATCATTTCTTTTCCTTGAATTCATACTTTTGTTCTTCATTTTAGAAATGAGAGGAAATCTTTGATTTTCCTTGTATTTAAGTTGCTTAAATGTTGCCCTGTGATATTGATAAAAGTCAATAATTATCCATTACAGTCACAGTCGAAATGTACCCATTGCTAGCCCCAGGCCTGTCAACTGTCCCGCAATTTGCGTATTTGTCACGCATTTGCTGAAGAATTTGAAGTCACGCCAGTTATTTTTGCGTGACAGAAAATGTAACGCAAATACGCATTTTACCTGGTAATTGTCAAGCAAAAATAAGATACATTTTTCTCAATTGAAGTCACTATTTCTGTTTTTAGCTTCAGAGGATAGGAGGTACATGAACATGCTAAGTTTACCTAGATCACAAGCCTTACCACAAATATAAGGTACAGTAAAACCTGTCTAATCCGAACACCCATGGGACCAGCCAAAAGCGTTCAAATTGGCAGGTGTTCACATTTCGAGGATATTGTTGGTCGGAAAGGGAATTTTCATTGTTCAGTCCACTATATTGAACACTTAATACTTAGTCAGAAAACAATACATGTTGTTGATGAGTTTATTCTACAATAGGCCTATAGCCTACATGTATATGCTATGTTTTATTTACATTTTGAACAATTTCATTATTTTTGGAAAAATAACTCTTTAATTTTGGCAAAAACTTTGTAATACACTGAATAAGTATATGATAGTCTTGTACGAAATCTTATGCTTATTAAATGACTTATCTCATATTATGGTTACATAGCACTGCTTTACTTTAGCTTGAAAAAGTCGTTCATTGTTGTTGGCATTAGCAATATTTGAGTAGATACCCTCTTCAATTAATTTTTCACGAGTGCTCATTCGAGATGATGCATAATCTTTCAAAATATCAAGGGCATTCAGGATGTCAGATGTGCCTTTTTAGGAGGCATTTTAGTGATAGGATATTACGAAGTTGAATTTTTTCTCTTTCTCGTGATATAATCTTGTCTGCAAATGTGTCTGTGTTGTCTTTGTGATTATAAAACATTTACTGATTGAATCCTAGCTATCATAACAGACCCATGGGATATAAAACAGTTAAGACTTGTTCATAATCCAAATCAAAAACATCCAGTTAATTTAAAATAAGGATAAACCAATTATCTTCTTGATTCACACCTTTCTCTTAATCCAAATCAAAAACATCCAGGTAATTTCTAATAATGATAAAACAATTATAATCTTGTCTGCGTTGTCTCTGTGATTATAAAACATTTACTGATTGAATCCTAGCTATCATAACAGACCCATGGGATATAAAACAGTTAAGACTTGTTCATAATCCAAATCAAAAACATCCAGTTAATTTAAAATAAGGCTAAACCAATTATCTCCCAGATTCTCACCTTTCTCTTAATCCAAACATAAAACATTCAGTT